ACGTAGGTGCTTAAAGAAGCAAACTCCCCATTCATAAAATAGATGGAAATAGTTTGAAGCGAGTAAATGGTAAGCCCTCGCTAGCGACTACTCGCTTAGTGTAACACCACACTCGCCCACTCGCTAGCGAGTACTCGCTAAGTGTAACAGGGCCTTTAGTTTTTATGGATAAGCCTTATAATGGACCAAGCTGCATCTTCTGTGAGATACAAGGGATATCTCAATTGAAATGCCTTGGAGAGAACCATTTAAGCGAGGTTATAATTCTCTAATTAGTGAGCATGGATGTATGTCGGCGTAGGAGTGTCGCTGACATTGATGCAATGTGACATGCATCAATGCGATAATCGCCATGTCATATGTGAGTTCATTGTGTCTTTCAATCGAAAAAGAAACTTGTACTAATGAACACTTACTGGGATGATTCTAAGGCCGGAGAGGCCGCGATAGTGTCGCAAGCGTGGACCTTTAGATACGTTAGGGATACCCTCAATCGAGTTTTTTTTTTCACCGTACGAGCCAAAGCTAGATTTCCGAAAAAAGATACCATCACCAAAACATTTGAGACCCTCTAGCCAGAAAGTGATCAAATTGTTAGCGAGTTATGGTTTCTTACAGGCCAGCAACATTAAATCCTATGAAGATTTTCGATTGATTGCATCCATCTTTACTGTAGCGGAAGCGGGAATGATTTAATTCCCACTTCAGTCACTGATTTAGCCAGGGGCAGTTATCTTGAGACAGCAGATGGCGCTCAGCTGGACATGTGGCGTCATTCAGAAGTGGGTTGGGGAGTGGGATGCAATCCGTAAGCGTTGCGTGAATGGAAAAAGTGAGGGTGGGGGGAGGGTGGGAACATGGGGGTGCATGGGAACTCCAGGACACTGTTTCTCATGCATTTCATGCGTATTTTCCTTCTTTTGCTTCTTTTTGTGAAAGATGGTTCCCTCCCGCCCTTCTCACTGCCTTGGCACGTGCGAGAGGAAAATTTCATGAAATGAAGCTCAAATACCTAAATTTTGATAGCGGAACGCGTTAACAGGATGTCCTTGTGCAAGTACTTATGTCCTACCGCTCCATGAAATGAAGTGGCATCGAGGCCGAGTAGCCGAGGGCAGTCATTTCACCTGTGAAGGAATTAAGTAACAGAATAGACTGAGGAACTGACCTCAATTAGTACCATCAAGTGGGAAACCACAAAGGTTTTTCTTCCCTCAATAACAGTTTTCAAGGTCTCCTATGTGAGCAGCGGAGGTCAATATAAAATAAACACATACAGAGATCTGAAAATGAATTCGCGTCGCTTTTTACTGAATGCAATTTTATTTCCATGGGGCATCCATGGAGGTGAAGGTATAATATAATTCCTATGATAGTATTGGCAATAAGTCTATGGGTTTAATATTAAAGGCATCGTGAATTCATTTGTTAATCCCAGAAACTCAGAAAATAAGGCACCAATAAACAATAGCCCTTTCCTTATCTATTTCATGCACTTCATGGACAGCTTTGCTGCTTCTTTGAGCAAGGAGGTGCCCTCTTACCCTGACAGTAATTGCATAAAGGTCACACATGACCTACATATATATTTCGCTGGAAGCTTGTAAAAAAAAGATAGCCACCATGCATATATTCAATTTTACAGTTCATCATAGACCCTTTCAAATGAGTTTTATTCATGGACTACTTTTTTTGGACTGATAATGAGGTTTAAAAAGTAGCGAAAATACGTCAATGTCATGTGGTGTATGGCAATGCTTGCTTGAATGAGTTGGTTAAGAGGTCAAGCAAAAAATCTTAATTCGTTCACTGCCAACCTCAATAGCTCCTGGCCAACACTAGTCTGTGGGATATATTTGGTGGTTTGATTGAAAACAGATGAAAGAAATGTGTTTGCTGTGAGCCCGGAAGGATGCAATTGAACCATAGGCATGACTGCCTCTTTCCTGACAGTGACCAACGTAATTTAAAGCAGATAGAGTTGAACTCGATGATTTTCCTCAATCGACTTAAGGCATCAATAGCAACAAATGTGCGGAGGATAGATATCGATTTCAATTTAACTCCAGTTCAGATTTGGTTTATCCTGGTGCTTGTGGGGCGCAAGAGACTGGTCTGGAATTGGACTAAAAACACTAAACTGTGACAGAAACTATAAATGATGGGAATGAGATGAAATCAAGTGCAAAATACACAAACTGAAGGTATTGGGACTAGGTCTCAAATAAAACATGCAAAACTCCAAGCAGAAATGGGACTATGATAGGCATGGACTGAGACTAACCTTGCTCTTATCCTTGCTTCTGTAGCTTCATCTGTGACCCTAAGCTGTCTGGAAAGAATTGGTCAGTATACTCTGTAGGCATTCTAAGTTTGGAGATCTGACATAGGCCTACCACTTCAGACTGAATCTATATTGGCACAGGGAAATAACGGCTTTATATCTCTTCTGGCTGTGATGGGACGCGTCTCTTTGGAATCTCGGAAAATCTGAACAAGAACATCTGAATCACCATACTTTCGTGTTTCGTTCTCGCTTTCTCGTCCTGTGACAAATGTTGCATCGAGCAGCCTATATGATGAAGGTAATTTATTGGACATAGTGGCACTAGTTTCAGTTTTAATAAAGTACCAATCTTGGTACTGGTCTATAGGTATTGCTCTTATGATGTTGAATTATTCCTTGAGGATACTGAGACTTTTCATTACGAAAAAGGTTTTCACCTACCTCGTATATTTATTCCTTCCGTGTTTGGAAGGTCGAAACACAGAAGCTCAGGAAAGCTTTCCCCTCCAAGAGAAAGCCATGGTCTGCATGACTGCCCCTCAACCGAATACTTTATTTACTATTTCCGCTGAAGTAACCGCAGAGAAACGGGAAGAGTGGGCAGACCCGCCTCAATGCTGTGATGGTACGAGTAATTTTCTTACGTCGACGAGCCGTGGCACGGTATCGACTCTCCCAAGTTGAAGTTGGCACTGATAAACTGGACCTTATTTTATGTCAATTTGATATATTAAAAAAGAATAGCACAACTCTTATATTAATTTAAAAAATAAAAAGGTATTGATTCAAACTCAGCGCAAGTTCCAATTATCCCAATAATCATGAGTCACCGCATATGGCGTAAATAACCAGCGAGCTACTTGCCAGGCCAAGACGCATAATGTGTGCCGATTTCCACACTAGATAATTTTCATAACGGTCCATCTCGCGTGGTAACACTGACGCAAGACTCTCAGCAAGGGCGGAGTCAACCGGCGGAGCTGTACGTCGAGATTCGAACCCCAAGCTGAAATGATCGTCGAAAGGAATCACGTAATATAACATTATAGGAATTTTGAAAATCCGCAGCCTTCAGATTTTCGTAGATGGAACTCGAAGAAATCACAAGAGTGTTCAGGTTTTGTTCTAATTGGAGTCAAATCGGTGATGTATAAGGCCGTTGGTAGATAGGATAGCTTCCCCCACTCGCTCCGCCCTTGAATGGAGGAGGATCAATGAGCGTGGCTCGAGCTTCCAGGCGTGTCCGCCAGGTGAAAGCCACTTTACCGAATTCCTTCCTTTTCCACGAACGGCTAGTGGTCTGGCCTCAGTCTGCTGAAGGACTCTCCGCGGACTTGGACATTCTCTCCCCGTTCTCTGCGGTCACCATGTGATAATACTTGTATCGGACGGTAGTTTAGACACGGCTACCAAACTGTTCTATCCAAGGATCCCCGTTCAGGAGTCTCAGTTGCAGTCGCAGCCTGGGATGTCAGTATCTCCCGCGGGACTTGAATACCAGGTGAGCTGTCCATTAAATACCTCTCAGCAACTCTCAACTTGATATCGGGTTCGAGGCTTCCGAATGCCGATCGTTAGACACGAAAAAAAAAGTTAATTCGACAGACCCCCATAGCCGATTTGACCATTTTCTTACTCCTATTGGCACACCTTCAACGATTAACTCCCCCGCCATTTCGAACAGTCTGGCCTGCATTAGAGGCAACCACGAGAGTCATGCCAGTTGCCTTGTAACCCATTTCCCTGAATCCATGGATGAGGGGGTTCCACGGTTGACAGGTGGAGCGGAACTCCAAACCCCCCCAACATAGAAACTCGTTATTAGAAGTAATAGGACTGCCTCTTAGTTCAACGTCGAAGTTTGATAAGCCAGTGGAAGATGATTAAAAAAAGTCGCCATTGCTGTCGCCATGACGCCATCATGATGTCATTGAGAGAAAGGGGCGGAGTGAACGGATCGTATCGATAGTGGGAGGTGTTCGACCTGGATCGAAGGGAACTAGGCAACCGAGAATGTTTTCCCTCTGGGGGATATGATATTGAGCTGTAGACCTTGAGGTCTGCAGCACTGCCCTTGCTCATTTATCAGTATCGGTATTCATATTTATCAGGTGTTGCCATCTCCCCTTTTCCATGCCCTTCCTTCTCTTCCAGCATGACGCATTTGTATATTTCCCGTCAGCATTACGTTGGTGTTCGTATTGTAGGGGGAGCACAGAGAATTCGCGACAGACGAGAGACATCCTAATAAACCAGTGAGCCATATGAAAATGCACGATTTCAGTGATTTCATTCATTCCTACTACTTTTTCCGGTTTGGCTTGAAGATTATGGGGTAAACGAAGAGAGCGCATGCAGGCTCACGACAGGAGCGGTTTTCCGTGCATTGCATCTCTTTTCTCTGCACCTGTCTTTTTTGTGCGTGTCTGCACGAGCCCTTAATTGCAATGCACGCCGATGGCATCCTTCATTATGCTAGGCATGAAGAGACCCCCTGAACCCTCGCCTGAAGACCCACGCCGGTGACTGCTTTGTTTTGTTCCACCCGGATTCAACATGAAGCCTTGACCTTCTGTTTAGACGCAATTATTCTTTCTGTCGTGTGCCTCCTACGAGATTTACTGTATCTGAGAGCCATGTAAGAATCTACTCTGTCTTAAAGACTTTAAAAGCTGCGTATAACCTTTAAAATCAGTTGTCGATCGTAATAATAATGGCTGCTGTATTTTTCATCTTGTGTATCTTTGTATCTTGTGGCCTCTTTAAAGTTCTGTAGTTGAGCGTGGTTTAGGGAAAAATATAGAAATGTTCAACTTACATTAAAATGTGCCTCTGCATGTAGTAAACAAGTCAGATTTCCTTGAGTTATCATTGGTTTTGTAGAAAACCTAACCGGTCATTGATAATCAAATAAGATCCAAGGGATGAATAAGGACGGCACAGGTCTGGAGTGGAAAGACAATATAATGCACCTCGACGTATACGTCATTCATGTATGCTCGCCGTAAGTAAGCAAATAATCATGCCGAAATGATGTATCATGTCCACAGCGAAGCAAGATGCTGGACAATAACAAGTATGCAACGAAGAAGACGATCGCCCAGGGGATGCTGGACATCGCCCTGCTGACAGCCAACGCCTCACAGTTGAAATACGTCCTCAGCCAAGGGAAGGACCGCTATGAGTTCTACACCCTCATGCTCGTCCTGATCTCCATCTCCATTGTCCTTCAGGTATCCGCGTTCCGTATTCCTGAAATTCGTGTCCGAGTTAAAAAGGATATTCACGTGTCTCCGGTACGTCGTACTGTGTGAGGAAAAGAATTATTGATACTGAGTATGGGCCTTTTAGGGAATGTCAGGGCTGCTGACTTTGACGTTGAACCTGTTGCACGACTGTCGGCTGGACCAGGAGGCACATCAGAGAGCGGCCCTGACCATAACGTATATTACGATGACCACCGCCTTCATGGTGGCAATTCTGAATATCATTATCTCGGCCTTGAATCCCCTACTCCCTCCCAGACTACCTTGACCTCCTCTGAACAAAGGTAGGGGGCTGACATCACGTTCCTTTATTTCCTTGAACACTTTCCTTTCAATGGAATTTAGTTAACTTACAACCGACGGGGCCTGCTGCCAAGCCCTAAAAAAATTATTATTCAACTTTTCGAAAAGTCACCAGCCCCCTACCTTTATATTTTCCCCCATGTCTCCGTCCTTGCTGCAGGCCCCTGCCGTTGTAATTTTTCACAGTTCAAGGTTGGGTGACTGAAAGTCACCCTGTACGTATTTGTATCGTTCTACTGAATTTCAGAATTTTAAGTGCCCGTACAAGTACCTTACTTCACGAACTTGATATTATTATATCCATCAATAGACCTAAACAAGGCTATACCAGGAGGCATACCTTTTGAGTCAAAATTTCAAGAAGAAATTGAGTTCATCAATCTCAAGATTTTTTTTCAACAGAAATTTAGTCGAATTTAGCCTGCTGCGAAATATCTTTAAAAAGACATTTTGCAGTTCTACTGGAGTGTTGGCAGTTTTACGAATGCATGAACCGCGGTGCACACGATACTGCAATTTCGCAGCATGGCAAGGATGCCAGATGTCATCATACTGCATAGGTGCAGTGGTATCAAATCAATAAGACCTGCTTTGTTGTCTGGTCGCTCTGGGAGACAGCCTTACGAAGATAAAATCGGACAAATACTACAAGAAATAATCTTCTGACGCGCCAAGTGTACCTATTCCCTCTCACACCTCTTATTATACCAGTTCCCCTCGTAATTTCTATTTCTATACCTATTAATACAGGCTTCGATATAGGTCACCTATGCTAAACAGGCACCTATATGCATTCTGTTTTCCAAACCTGGTTTTAAATTCTCGCATCTGAAGTTAACCTTGTGATTTTGCAATATCATTTCATAAAAAAAAATTTCTCCTACAGGGGAGCCTGTTTGTGATGGCATCAATCCTGACATTCATGCGAATCGATCGCCAAGAAAAAGAGACGGCAATGGCCAACATACTGAATTACATCATCTTTTCTATCTCCTTTTTTATTCTCTTTGTTGACGGACTCAAATTCGGATTCCTGCACTGAAGTGATCTCTCTTGTTTTTTTGTGATTCGTTTCTGAACTTGAAATTAGCCTTCATTCTTCCTTTGCTTACGAGGCTTCATGAAGTTTCGTGACTTTTTTTCATTTTATACACGGAGTTTGTTTGAAAACAATAAAGACAAGTTTTGCCCGTAAAAAACAGAGTTTCTCTTAAGAGGTAACCCGGTTTTCGTGAAGTGGGAAGATGTCAAGTTCAGAAATGACGACAGTGATGGACTTCGAATAATTTTCCCAAAGGATTAATTGCGTTTTATTGGATGGGATTCCGTAGGTGGTGATTGGTGTGATGTTCCTCGTCATAGGCGGGATCAACATAAACAAAGAGCAGAATCATCGGGTTGCGGATATCTTGAACAATGTCATTACGGCCTGCATCTTCTTTATCTCCGTCCTCAATATCGTCATTTCTGTGGTCGGCATCGATGTTCCGCTCGAAATCAGATCCTCCTAATGAAAGAAAGGACTGTTCTGCTCATTTTCCTCTGTTCTCCCTTATTTTGCCCCACGACAAATAAAGCACTGTCTTGCAAACGAGAGATGTTGATCATCTTGAACAATGTCATCACACTGTCACACCTGGCTTGGTATGGGTGGCATGTTAATAAAACACATGATTTCAAACTTATATGGCCTTGTTATGTATTATACTGTATTTATGTTTTTTTCTGCAAAATGGAACGAAGGGGAGGAATCGTTAGAACTCATTTTACGTACATACATACATGGGGTCGCGGTTTGAGCAGGTGGAGGAGCATCATCCAGCTCTCGCGATCCTGGGAACGGACTCCAGCTCGACAGCCGTAAGAACCTCATTTTGGCAGCTTGTGTCCGCAACCTGGTTCTCTCGATCATTTCTCAGTTAGTGATCATGCGTGAGGTTCGGGAGGTAAACGCTCTCGAAAACCAATATTTTCGCATCCTTGGAAATGTCATATTTGGCACCCACAATCGTCCAGATTTCCTGCAAAATTGCGGGAGCCCTGGAAATGCGGCTGTTGATCTCGTTTCCGTATCGCCCATCACTCAAAAACCAGACCCCGAGGTACTTAAAATGCTCCACCTGTTTCAGTGGAGCCTTACACGTTGAAGGGCAACGTGTAAGGCGCACAGAACTTCTCGAGAAGACTATAACCTTTCTTTTGGGGGTGCTCAATTTCATTGCGACCGCAGCACATTCCAAGTAGAACCGATCGAGCACCTCCTGAAGCTCCTGTCGAGATCTTGCCAAAATGAGATCATCTGCAAGGAAAGGTTTTATCATCTCGATACTACCGATGCTAACCCCCTCGAGGCCCAAGCTACGCCTACAGTTCCTATCCGTGCACACGAAACAAGAGAGAGGACTCAACCCTGATAAGGTCTAACACATATCGGGAAAGAGTCCGGGCTCATCCCTTTCGCTCGAACACCTTGTTTGCAATGCGGTAATAGTGTGCCTTGTCTTCGCCGAATTACTTTCATGCCTCTCGTTTCGCTTCGGCTAAGGCTCGAGCAGCAGTTTTTCGCGCCTCTCTGTAACACGACCGCAAAGAGTCCGACCTACTGGACGTGTATGTCTTATAGGCTACCTTCTTAGAAGGACGGCCGGCCGTTCTGGCGTCCACCAGGGAGTCCGCTTGGAGTTATCACGCGTCACTCCGATTCGCTTTTCACCACATTTCACTGCAGCTGCCGAAACGCCAGATCGAAATAGATCCCATTTGGTCTCTATGAAAAAAAAATCTGTTGAGGCAATTGGGAATACTTTTCGCCAATCGCCTTAACCAACTCGTCGCGGGTTTTCTCACCTCACCTGTTTTGTAACTCGTGTGGTTTTTCCGCCCCGTCCTGAGGTTCGCCTGTATTCGGAGTTTTCTAATCACTAGACGGTGGTCGGTGCTCAGTTAGGTTTTACCCTCGTATCACGTTACCAAGTTCCACAAGTCAGCCGAAACGATCACATAGTCGATCGGCCACTGTTGGCACACAGTACCAGTCTGACTGTCAGACCCCCTGTGCCGGATAAAATTATGGATGTCCTTGCATTGCAAGAAGATGCTGGTAATGACCAGTCCATGCCAGCACAGAAGTCCAGCGACTTTCTACTATTCTCATTCGGCGTGGCTTCTCCAAAACGTTCTATAATCCCGCTCCACTTAGCTTCATCCGCGTTCCAAACTCGGGCATTGGAGTCTCCCATCGGCAAGACGTGGTCGCAGTTTGGTTTTCCATTCAATCACGCTGTCTGCCAGCTGGGGACTAATTAGTATCCCCACTCCGCCCGGGGCAAATATAGTTAACATACTCCGCTCCAGTAGAGAGTCCATCTGTGATCAAGAGCGATAGAACCTATGCCTCTCCGACTATATCTTGTTGACGTGTACTAGCCTCTTCCACGAGTTCTGGCTCCTTACCGCCGAGTGTTAGCACGTTTCGAGTCCCGATATCCGAAGTCCGTTGCCTAGGTCGTTTACCACATCGTTCTGATCCTGGCCTGCCCATAAGGCATCGTGTCAAAAATACGCAGACCAACCGATAGGCCTGGACCTAGTTCGACAGGGTTCAACGCACCCATAAATATCGGATCGACCGGCCCCGTAGTCGACTTATCGATAGTCACCCCGGAAACACTAATATTATCCCGACGACGACCGATCCGATATGACGCACCCGAGCCGAAAGCGTCAGGCAAGTTTTGATTCGTCTTGGACACTCACAACAGATGTCCATGGTAGGACCTGAGATGCTGAGGCCTTCCGAATCACTGGGGTCCATCTTCGCGATGTGGAAGCAAGGACCATCAAGGACTAACTCGTTTTCAATTACGAAATATATGGGAATATCTCTGTATGTGGGATGCCATTCTTCTCATGAACAAATTAAGATTAATCATATCCCTACGGGCGCCTTGCATAATCTATCAATGTCCTTGCCACTCGGGGAGATTTTCCCAGAAAATTTTTTCTTTCTCTATTTCCATCCCTGGAGCCATTCCGCGCGCTATGGTTTGCATTAACGTTGAGTTTGGGTTGATAAGTTGATGTTGAATTCCCAACTTGAAATCAACTGAATCATCGATGTTGTGTGCAGTATACTGATTTCCTTCAATGTGATAGCCAAAGAAAGGGAACACTATTATCTTTGTCGTAGGAGTACGTACAGTATAATGAACGAGAGATTTTTTTTAAATTTATTCATTGCCAATTCCTAATACTTAGAGCAACGTTGAGGATGCATGACATTATACAAGATCCCGAAAAATGTTCATTTACGACGTAGGTCGGGGCTCATAGAACGTGAAGTGTCGGCACACACAGTACACACAGCACGCCTTGAACGGTATGGATTTTGGGGTGTGTGCATTTTTCCATCACTTCATCGCGACTCGTGCCTCGTGAGCTCGATTCGACAGCTGAGGACATCTAGCGGCTGATATGTGACACGATAGGAGGTCTTTCTGCGGGAAGAAACGGCTCTCTGCGAGTCAACGGTGGAAAGTCTTGATGCATGCCGCCTCCTCGAGGTGTCATGCTTCGCCTTCAAGCTCAGATCATCTACGTTTTGTATCAAGACTTGCATTCTCTTTTTGTCTTCCAATCTCTGACTAAAAAAGGAAAGTTCTGAATTACAATTAGGTACCTTTATAATTCAGAAATTTCATTTTTTTAAGCAGTGGAATGCAACCCTGTGACCAAACCTTTCCTTCAAAGTGAGGATCGGAGACTGGCAAGGCGAAGTGTGAAGCTCTGGCTGGAGAAAGCATTTCTAGATACTTATTGGGGTACCTACCGCTTGGGATTAAACGCCCACGTATGTATTGCATTGGGAGGGGAAAAGGCAAACCTGATTTCTAGATACTTTCGCATGCAGACCTCTGTTGGAGGCACAGCGACTTTTTGGGGTGTTTTTACCAGAAATAGCGTGAGCAAGGACCGTGAAAAAATTCGTTTCAGTAACATGATCTGGGACTGAGGACTCCAAATGGACTGAAAATAAAACGACATCGTGTATAAATCCTCGTACGTGTAGCCTTTATATTCACACATGTCGAGTCGACCCTCGTTCCGATCTAAATGTTTCCACTTATTTTTGTAGTTTCATTCGCTCGAGCATGTTTTCCACGTATTTTGCAATCTACTATATCTCATTTTATGTACTCTATTAGAAGCGGAATAGCAGGTGTTGTGGCTCCCCGCCCCCCATTCAAGGTTACGGATCGAAAGCGAAGAGTAGAAAAGAGGACAGAAAGAAATTATAAATACTTCGTAAGACAAAATCTCGATTTAGAAAGCAACGAAGGAAAAGAATGAGAACAGAAACCCAAGTCCGTGAAAAATCGTCCCTTTGAAGGAAAGAATCTCTGAAGTGGACTCAAGTTGAAAGATCGATCGACTGTTCCTCAAATGTACATCTTTTCAATTCATGAAATAAAGGAAAATGCACAGGCAGAATGAGCAGCTAATTTTACATCTGTTGCGAGAACTCGATGGACTTGAGCTATTCCAGTCTGACTTACTGGGGCTTCCCTTTCCTTCCGTTTCCTCTTCGTGCATGTAGAGAGAGATTCCGTGGAGCATGCTGGAATGAGCGAGGAGGATTGCCATGAATTTTCGAGTGGACGAAAGGGGTTCAACGTATTGGGTGACTTTTTCGGCTAGGAGGCGATACTGGCACCCTCAGGGACGACAATACTTAGCTTTGTGAGGAAGGATCATGATTTTTTTTTACACATAAAGGGGGAAGGGGAGAAAGCGAAGAGAAGAGTGGGGAGGGGGGATCGGCTAGGTAATAGGTATTCATAGAGCTGGCAGAATGGTGCCAAGCCGTCGAAGTAACAAGGAGGAACGAAGAGCGGAAGGCTCGGGCGTTTATGCGAGGCTGCCCCGTCCCATTCGCATCCCCAGCGCAGTTTCCACCCTCGCCGGCGTCCCCCTCGACTCTCCCTGTTGAGCCTCTTCCATTGCGTGAGTTCGTTTCTCTTCGGTGCATTGTTCTAGATGTAGCGCTCCCGAGAGGACTCAGACGGGTGAAAGGAACGAGGCATACATCGATAGACCTGTGTCGTATCACGGTGTGCTCATGAAAGATCTTTTGCCAATTCACGACTCCATGGCGTTACATCGAGAAAACCGAAATTAAACTCGTTCTTGAGTAATTTGGATCGTGACTTCGATTTATTGGAAACATGAAAGTGAAATCACGCGAGTAGTGGCATTTTATGACACAATGAGGCACTTTAACCTTCATCGCACGGAATTTTTAGATAATTCGGTCCCCTCAGAGCCGAAAATGAATTTCGCCCTTTTAAGTCTCAAGGGTTTGACAATTATATCATTTGTTTGGGTTAGAAACCTACCCAAGGACCAGAAAAGCTCGTTGATGTGACGCGTGTACGGCGTAAGATATATCTCGCATTCTTACGAAAAAGGTTACTTGAGAATTGGTTAATTGAGGTAGCTGAAGCAATTTCCGAGAGCCAAAACAGAATCGGAAGATCCTGCTTGGCAACAGGCCAAATTTAAGGGTGCAGTCGAGAGAAAAAACTTCTCAGGTCTTCTCTCATACCCGTGTGCTCATGTTTGTATGTACATATGTACATATAAGCATGCATTCGTCCTAACGCTACAGGAAAAGATCTCCAGTGAGCTAGCAGGAATGAGACGCAGTGCAAAATACTCTGCCGCATTTCACCGCTTGAGAAAAAGCCAATTGGGAATTTTTACAGAACAGTTTTGACGCCAGTGATTTACCGTCTATGGAGACAACGGTTTTGTCGCTCACATTGCTAAGCACTCCATGAAGAGTTTGTTAGCTTTTCCTTGGAAAGAGATTGACACTAAATCATTTTTTTTATAGCGGCTTCTCCGTTGCCGTGACAATAACAACTCAGTGTTAAAAGGCAAACAGTGATGCTGAGTTTGTAATTGACGAATAACAGGAAGAGCTGGAAGCCAAACACGGAACAGAGGGAGCATTCTCCCCCATCAGCTAATAAAAGCTCGACGCAGAATCCAAATATAGGAATGAAGTCATCGTCCTCACGGGCGCGATAACGATCGGAGTGTCAGGTTTCACAGATTCCAATGACGGCGATGGAGGAGCGGCCCCGACGAAGGACGGAGGGCGAAGGCCACCTCAACATGAACGTCTATGCGACCAAGAAGACGATCGCGAAGGGGATGATGGATGTCGCCCTCCTGTCCGCCAACGCCAACCAACTCAAGTATGTCCTGAGGGGAGGGCCTGAGGCTCGTCACTACCTCGTCAATGTCGCCCTCATTTCCACCAGCATTACGCTGCAGGTAAAGTTTCACAGGAAAAAATTTCTTTTTTCGAGGGTTGCAGTCTTTCGATATTTGGGCTTTGCAGATCATCGTGGGTCTTGTGATGGTGTGGTTGGGAAGGATGAACGTGAACGAGGACCGGATGGTCAGCAAGGCCAACAAAGTGAACAATGTCGTCGTCACCATCATTATCATCATCACGGTCCTCAACATCATCATTCCTTCCTTTGGAATCGGGGAACCCCCCCAACCTAATACTACCGTTTCCATGTGAGCCATGAGGCATATTCGCATAACAATGTCGTCGTCACCATCATTATCATCATCACGGTCCTCAACATCATCATTCCTTCCTTTGGAATCGGGGAACCCCCCCAACCTAATACTACCGTTTCCATGTGAGCCATGAGGCATATTCGCACCGAAGTGGATCTCTGTTACGTGTTGATCGAGAACGGCAGGCAATCTTTCGGAAACAAACATTTTGCAAACGGAACATGGATCGTGCCGAGTGCATCACCAGCAACTGTTTACAGCAGAAAGTGTCCTCTCTTTTCATCAAATAAATAATTTCGTTATCCTTTCTGAATGGCTCGTGGATGAAAAAAACGCACGTGAAGTATCGTTTGACGATAGAGGCGCTGCTATTGAAGGTTAATGCCGTAGCGTGAAGAAGCACGTGCCCATATTTACATCCCCAGTCTCTGTCGAGTGTTCATTCTAGCCCTCTCCCCCGTCTAAGGAAGGCCTATTCCCCCTCTTTTCCTCCCACCCCACCCCACCCCAACCCACTCCTCTCCCACTTCCCCACTCCCCAAAAGATGTTCTCTGTGGAAGCACGTCAATCACCTGTCTAATTACTGCTTCGTATATTGTTCCCTTTGCTTTTTCTCTGGAGGTATCTAATTCCTTCTACAGCTATCCATGGAAGAGCTGTCCTGAAATTTTCAACCTAATGAGTACGACCTCGCAACAAGTATCGACTAGATTAAGTGCTGGCATTTATAAAGTTTTTCCGAGGTTCCAAATTTCGCTTTGTCCATCAGTTCACAAGATCACCAAGCATGGCAGGAGGCGTGGATTTACGATACGTATGACTATTAAACCTAATCTAACGATATAAAATTCGCCATAATGTATATACTGTATGTCGAAGAGAAATCCACTGGTTTACTAGTGACTGGAGCATATTTTCAAGGTAAGACAACGAAAATAACGTCAAGAAAACGGAAACAGGGATCACAGAGGAAATCGACTCTTTTATTCCTCCTTTCACCTTGGGCATTCCCGCCTCCTTCCTCAATATCTCTAAAGCAACTTTCTAAGTTGTGCTGCTTTCATGTGCACCGAACAAGACTGATGACCAGGTTATTTCATCTGAGTAGGAAATTTCGTTCCGGAGCTCTTTCACAGGGTTGCCTAATATGCTGTTAGCCCGTGAATGCAGGGGAAAGGTGTCTCATGTCCCCTTCTACAACTTCCACTTGAAAGTTACAGGTTTGAAAAAAGCCTCCAGCTTATTTGCTGCATGCAAATCATGCAATTGATGGAGAAGATATTGACGCTGGCAATGATTTACTCAATGATGGAATCCTTTCTTTTGCTGCAAGGCTAAATAAGAAGTTATAGCCGAAGACAGTCAGAAAAACTCAATGAAATTAGATGCTGGAGTATTCAGGAAATGTCATCTTTCACGTGGCAAAAATGAACATCGTATGTATTTAGCTCAAAAGATCGTCATATTATTTCTAATCCTGTCATATATATTTTTGCCACTGAGAGACAGGGCTTCCCCATAGCATCTTCACGACATGCATAGACCAGAACGGGCTCCCGAAGAATCTTAACCCCCCCCCCCCCTAGCTGCAGACTGCAGGAAGATTGGAATCACTTCTTCCGTCAAGCAGAGATGGAAATCCATTTGTGGATAGAATAAAGAGGTGATTGGTGAAAACTTCCCTCGTCAGAGCCTTCGGTTTCCAGAAGTTTTAGTTGATCTTTTCAAATCATCTCAACAAAGTTGGAGCTGAACACATGAGATGGGGAACCTCGCTAATTAAAAGTTCCTAGAAAGGTTGTGGGAACTTGGTTTCCACACCGGAAAGTTCGGGAACGCCGTTCCCACTTACTTTCATCGGTGCCCTCCAGTAAAATGCAGTACCTCAATCGAATCCTTCATAAACCCATCTTTCTTTTTCCCAAAGCAACCGTACCATCCACTCGCCTATACACTGAGATTGAACAAAGCACCGGTGTGGATTCATACACTCTTCCTGAGGTAAAGGAGAAGCTGTTGTTTGCAAAGTCCCGTTGAGAGCGTCAATTGTTGGAGCACTCCTCTATCTCTCTCTCCAGGAAAAAAAAACCCTTTGTCCCGAGCAGAGCAGGTGTGATCCTGCATAAATGTCCCTCAATTCTCCGTACCTAGACATGTAGAAGCACCAACGCCTCTTCTCGCTCAAGGAAGTCTGAGTAATGAGATCCGATCCGATCCGATTAGATCTGACTGTGTCTCTGGCAAACAAGACCCGTTGACCCGTCTGGTCTTCGTTGTCACGCGTGGCAGACCGCCAGGTGGCACTGCCGTCAACTTCTTTTCCTTCGAGCATCTCATCAATGATTGATTTCGAATTTGAACTTCAGCTTTCGTACTACACTGCTTCTGCGCATATGGCGTGCACCAGCACAGGCAGTCAGTTTACCCATCCCTCACGTGAGCGAGTTCCCCTCTGAGGGGAATCACACGAAATAACGATTAAGAATAGGCGAAAGATAGTCCAGAAAAGCGCAACAAGATTCGTGACGACGAACATCATATTACAGTTGATTCAGACTCTTTTATGAGATAGATCGACAAACATAAAAGAATGCATAACTCTTTTTTCACATAAATTGACCTACGATAAAGAAAAACTTGGACTACAGAGACCGTTGAGTTAACGACTATTACTAATATACCGGGAGGTTGTTTGAGCTGCGTACTACATCGCATTCCCGCTAGAAATGCTTTATATAAATGTAGCGTTTCCCTTTAAACTAGGGAGGAGTGATAGAGCATTACAGCTGATAAAAAAGGATATCTATTAGCTTACCAGCTGAAACACTTTCCGGACTCCAAGGAAAATAAACTCGTCTCCAGTCTGGGATTATACAACGCCTGAAAACCTGGAAGTAAACAAGAGTCTCATATGCAGGAGTGGAACTTGGACGCTTGCTGTGAGGGAAAGAAAATAGCAGCAGCAGACCATCCAGATCCGTGATTAGAAGACTATTCAATGAGCCCGTCTGCATCACCCATTATTTTAACGACAGCTCGACCGCCTAGCCTCGACTAGAAAGCCAAGTGAATCTCCTTTCTATCTCAAAAGGAGATTCATGAAAATGTGTGGAACACATTGGTCTACCGTATAGGAAATGGGCTCAGGAGTGAATCTCTTTTGATAAATCGAACCCCTCTGAATTTGAAGGAAGCACGCTGCAACTCGCAGAAGTCGTTCTACGTAGAGTCAGTCCACTACCAGGATGATTGTGGTTTTTAGACCACAACCGGTTATCAATCACTGTTTTTTTTTTTTTACAAGAATGCGTTGCATTCCGAGACAGTGCATGCCCAGTCACAATCAACACGGGAAAAAAATTCCCGCTGGAGTACGCGAGGTCGAGATTTCTAAGCCAAGAGGTATTTCCAGCACTCTAAGGAAGATATATTTTCATTTATTTGGATGAAATCCCCTTGGTGAGTCTCTCTTCACCGGGAAAACCTCCCACGACAGTCTTCGAGTACGTTCTTCTCTTCAGTCTGGTGAATGACTAGCTGCAACCGTCAACTTCCACCATCTCGCTTCGGTTGGGGTAACTGTGTTTCTTTGTGTAACTGCCAGATGGCAGGCCTGCTGCAGATTTATTTCACAGCCCGGTTTTCGACTCACGCACCTTAACCACCTGTACTGATTTAGTCGTGCTCTTGATTTCCGTTAAACTTGTCGGGATCTATCTATTGGCACCCATGACGTCGGTGGACTCGGTTGGATTCTCATCTTTCGGGGCAATATGAAGTTTTCAGTCAAAATGACAAAAATATGCATTAAAGAAAGTTTCATCATGTGAGAAAATTCCCTGATGCAAAAGAATAAATATGCCAATATGTTACAGCTCAGCAAAATGAGGTTTGGCTACTAGAGCGCTGACAAAAAAAAACAGTAAATAAAAACAAGTGCAATTCACAGTCAGTCAATGCATTTTTCCGCATGCCATACATTGTACTTTCTTTCAGTAAATACTTAGTTTCCTCACTGCGACTTGAACCAGCTAACATCTGTCTAATGATGCTGATTGCGTTTGTGGACGCGATTGGACATGCCCCTATAGGGTTTCCTGTACGTACTTATATAATGCATGTCTTCATAGATCACGGAATTATCATAAAAGGCCCATAGTTGCAGCTCTTGCATTATTGTGAGCGAAAAGATTTGGGATATTAATGTTGTCAAACATCCCCTTTAATCGTAATTACCTACTTTTACCGATACAGTAACCCACGATTAACGCTATCCTAGCAGTGCAGTTTAAGAGCTGAATATTAAGCAGCAAAATTTTGTACCCCTGTTCCTTAGTCCATAACCTCCAGTTACTCCAACATTTTATTTGCTATCTGAAAATTTCCTTAGTCAAAATTAAAATATACTTCTGTGACACAATTGACAGTAGTCGACGGTACAAAATACGTCGATAACGATTATTCACAATTCGATCGTGCATCGAAAAGCGGCAAGGAGTGAGGGATCCCATCGGTAAAGGTATAGGGAAGAAAGGGAGGGGAGGGAGAATAGGGAGGTCTCCCGCGTGGATCAAGGGAACTATGCAACCACGGAAGGCCTGACACTGCTTTTGCTCGCGGTCGAGATTTGGATCTCCAACACTTCATATCGAGTGTCGCCGTTTCTCCTTTCCCTTGCATTGACCTCTCTCCCAACTTTGCATACATACATCTCTTCGATCGAGATTACTTCTGTGTTCATTTTTTACGTGGAAGTCAGAGAATTTTCGGCAAACGAGAGACATCCTGAGAGAACAGTGAGCCATGAGAAAATCCACGGTTTCAGTGATTCTTTTCATTTTTGCTCTTCCTTCCGATTTGGCTTGAAGCTTATAAAATGAAGGTAGAAGAGAGAGCATACATACGATCGGAGCGGTTTTTCGTGCATGGCAATTTTTTTTCCACAGCGCCTTTTTTGTGTCTGCACGAACTCTTACTCACGCCGATGGCACCCTTTATCATGCCCGGCATGAAAAGATCCCCGAACCCACGCCGGTCACTGTGTCCATTTTCCTTTGCCCTTGCCCAATAATTACGCGTTAGTCAAGGTCTTTTTTTCCCTAGGTGCCTCTCACGAGATCTCACATTAACGAGCAAAAGCGAGTTCCATGATCATCGCCTGGGACTTCTGGGATTTGTTTGCAGGAGAGCCCGGATCTCCTTATTTTTTGCTTGATAGCCGGTTAACTGCCTCCTCAGTTCATCGGCTTCTTCTCTCAGTTTTACGTAATGTTGAAGGTGAGAAGGAATTAAAAATTCTATTATCTGGGATTTGCAATCAGAGACGCAATTATCAGGGGAAGATGTGATTTCACAGCGATCTCCAACCTGCAGTTTAACCGAACTTCATTTCCTTGAGTTGTTGCTGGATGGCTGGGTATAATGAAATCACTGTAGCTCCCAAACCCTTCGCTTAAGAGGTGTAAAAGCAAGTCATAAGCATAGAGTAGGGAGTGTAACTAGAGGCGACACTCCAAGGGGTGGGGGAGGGTCGAAATATTACAGAGACATCTGGTGGCTTGTTATCAACAACACTTCCGTGCGGCGTGCTTCGTGGCAGCAGAATCGGGAAACGACTCATTCGGGGATTCGACCCAAAGGGATCCCTCAAAGTAACACGAGTGTCTCGTTGAGTCCGCTGCTCGGTCAAGATCACCTTTGCACCAAAGGACAAAGGTCGAACCAGTGGGAGAAGTTCAGTTTTGGTAAGGGGACATGACTCTGCCATTCCGGTCGCAGATTCTATTCATACAAAACCTGGACATTAAGTGTGAGTGCAGTGCATGAAGTGCAGTAGCGTGCCCAAAAAATCCCAGGGGGTGGGGTGGATGTGATGGCCATGTGATGAGCCATCGCTCATCACATGGCCATCGTTGACGAGGCCTGATGTCCTTTAAAGCTCCGGGCCAGGACACTTCAACACTACTTTCCAACTACCAGCCTAGGATTACTCTAGGCTTCGCTGGCTATTCCATTCGGAGTTGGAAATTTAACTTTTAGTTTCATGTACGTCTACTATTTACAATCACCTGGGCTCGCTAGCGATATCTTGCGGCGGGGGCAAAAAAATAGGTTAGGGGTCAATCACCATGGTCACAGGCTATTACTCCCTTGTCGTGACTATAACAACATTGGCAAAACATCAGGGTGACAGCATACTGCATTCACACAACATTAATCCTTTTATACAATGCTGTCACAACGTCAGTGTATTACCTGGGGCCTATTTCATGGAATTTACAAGTTCTACAAGTTACAAGTTGCTAGTAATTACAAGGGTCGTGTTGTATTTTTAGGAAGAGCCAGCGGGACCAGCAGGAAGAGTTAAACAAGGAGCACGACCCTTGCAAGTACTTGTAACTTGTAACTTGTAGAACTTGTAAATTCCATGAAACAGGCCCCTGGTCTCCCTAAAAACAAGGAAGCACAATTGATAACTACTCCTTTATCTGAGCAGAATCCATAACTTTTTCCTGAGCGGGAAACGAAGGAGGGGACAGTACTTTTCAAACCAGTAGAAAAAGTTAGTGGTTATTCTCAGGAAAAAGTGTGTTGAGCAGCATTACTTCTTTGTTTTAGGGAGTAAAATCACCAACTCTCCTTTTTTTCGGAAAAAAAGGGAGAGTTGGTGATTTTATGTATATGATCTTTTCTAAAAGTGTAGGAGTGGGAAGGAGAGAGGGAGGTCTCCAGCGTGGATCGAAGGGAACTATGCAACCGCTCATGAGCTGTCACTGCTTTTCTTCGCGATCGATATTAGTAACTCGGACACTATATCGAGTGCAAACCGTTTTCCCCTTCCTTTGCCCTCTCTTTTCTCTCGACATTGCATGCATCCAGTTGTTCGCTATAGACTACTTTGGTGCTCCAATTTTTACGGGTGAGTCGGGTAATTAGGCTATGCCAACATCTCTGCACCGAAGGACAAAGTTGACCATTGCTCTTCGGTGCAAACATGTTGATATTCGCGCTTGACGTGCGAATCAGTGGAAGAAGTCCGCTTTTGAAGTGTGTGAATGACGTTGCCACTCAGGCCACAGATTCCTTTCGCACGAACACCGAGCATCAAATGTTAGACGCCTTGTGGGCACCATAAAACCACATTTCGTTTCGTGCTCCTTTTCGGAGACCTTGAATCAGAACCAGTTAGCGGTTTTTTCAAACTTCTCAGGTCAAACAATTGACCGTGCCATACTCTTAGAAAATTCCGTCCGTTTGGGGAGTAAAAAGTGGGCACACCATGAGTTTTTCGAATTTACTCTCTTATTACTCACCAAATGCTCCCTCATCGCTCGTATTGAAGTGAACACCTTGAAGTTCTTCGCCAGGCCACTAGATGGCGGTAAGGGTCTCGCTTTTCGCACAGTGCACAAAAGTTCCCTTCTCTCTGTCCTTGGAATCGTCCCTTGCAGGATTGCCTTGCCATATGTCTCGCCCAGTCTCATTATAGGAATCAATAAACACGGACACTTCATTTGTTATCCACATATTCAAGACGTACTCATAGAGTCCAGGCCATAAACAAGCTCATATTCCTATTGAGAACCCTTTTGGAACGCGTTTGGTTTTATCCGCATAAGAGATCTAGACGAAATATTGTCCATGAACTTCATGCAATCATATATTTTAATTAATTGAGGTAATTAAGGGATTGATATCCCGGATACTCCATGGAACCTATAAGAGGTAATCCACCCTCTGACCTGTGCTGTAATCACTACTGTCAGAGGTAAGTCAACTCCTGTACGAGAGCGAAAGCTAGACACATTATAAATGAGAATTTTCGTATTTGCATGACATCTCTATCACTTTCTGATGGGAGCGGTTTTACTCACAGAGGAGAGCAATTTTACTCCTTGGTGATGGAGTAAATTCGCTCCTCCTTTCCCAGAGTGAAAGGGGGGTGAAACTGGAGTTAGCTGTTTTGCTCTCTTTTTTGAGAAAAATCGCTCCCCTTTTTCTTAGGGTGTAATGGCATGAGAACAGATATGTGAAAGATGTGAAACCACCTGGTCGCCCTACTTCGGTACGTACTCTTGAAAAAAAAGCAAAATTGAGGGATGCCGTACAGCGCAGTCCACGTAGATCAGCTCGCAGACAGGGCTTGACCCTTGGCTGACCATTAGGAGAGTTCGACGAATCTTTTATAATGACTTACATTTTCATCGGTATAAATTGCAAATTGTGCAAGAGCTAAGTGACCGGGACAAAGCTTCACGTTTACAGTTCTGCAAAAAATTCATGGAAATGGCAAACCACAATCCAGGTATAGTGAATGAACTGCTTATGACCGACGAGGCTCACTTCTACCTATCAGGCGCCGTCAACAAACAGAACTTTCGATATTGATCACTTGAGAATTCCACATGAGCTTCACCAACACCCCAACACAGCCAGAAGGTGACTTTGGTGCGCCACTTCTTTTTTCTGAATCATTGACCCTTACTTCTTCGAAGACGACGCTGGTCAGAACGTGGCAGTCAAAGCTGAGGGCTAAAAGCATATGCTAGAAATCTACCTGGACAATTAACTGCAGCGTCTTGGACGACCTATATTATGGTTCAAACAGGATAGAGCCACTGCCCAAATGGCAAGAATCGACTAGGATGACGTCCGCAAAATGTTTCTGCAACGCCTTATTTCTCACTTTGGGGACCTGAACTGGCCTCCTCGCTCACCAGACCTAGCAGCACCTGATTTTTTTTGTGGGGCTATTTCAAGAGCAAGGTGTATGTGTCACGTCCGGCCAGTATCGATGATATTAAGGAAAGTGGTGTCGCAAGGAGATTCTAAGAATCCCCAATGACTTACTGCGCCGAGTCTTGGCATCCGTGTCTAAACGCGCAGGAGAGCATTGACCGCGAAAGAGCCTATCTGCAGGACATCCTCTTCAAAAAATTATTCGAGGTATGGAAAACTGTACTCTCCAATGTATGCAGAATTAAAAAATATATCAATATAAAATATATCAGCTATCAGTCACTTGTTATTACAATTAAAAAACCGTTTCTGACCTAACTTTTGTATGAAACTTTTGAAAATGTGGACTCGTCCAGCCATGAGATACATCTACAAGGATAATCGACCCGAAATCCTTCTCGAGGACGACGATGTGCAAAAGATTTGGCGCTGGTCCCGATCCGCCATCCTTTCACAATATTACTCATCTCCTTTGGATATTCTGACCGATGAGGATTATCGAGCAAGGATCAGCCGCATTCAACATGGCCTCATTTTGTTCTACCTTCAGTGTGAGTTGCATATTCATCATAACCATCACGAATGTCATATGGACTTCATTCTTACATGCATACTTGAAAGAAATTTACCTGATCGAAATTGGATAGGATCGAGATATTATAATAATAAAATGAAATGTATTGGATTGTAAGGGGAAGGAGGGAGCCGCACGGTGAAGGAGCAACTCCTCAACGTCTTGACGGACTTTCATAAGGACTCGGAATTCCAAGTGCCGTTTCTGGGTGCTCTAGATTGCTACGATTGGCCATTAGTCTGCGAACAGGAGACGATCAGAGAATACCCGACTGTTAGACTCATCAAAGACGGTCAAATTCTGGATTACAGGAGGACACTGACCATCAAAGATCTTAGATCAACTCTCAAGCTGTGAGGCTCTAAAGAAAATTAGGAAAAATCCATGGAATGGACATTTCTGACTCCAATGACTCTTTCTCTTCTGCGAAGGTTGCAGAGGCCAGCTGTCGAATTGATCGGGACGATCAAAGGAGTCGAAGACTTCTTGTCTTCCGAAACGCTCGACAAATACGAAATGGAGCAGAACGTGATCCTCTTCTGGCCGAATCTTGCCAGCAGTGAGACATGGACCTTCTTGACTCCGTCCATTGGCCCAAACAGACGTTACGTTGGGGGGATTCTCGAAATACATCCTTTTCCTATCTGTCATACATGCTGTGAAGGAGATTTTGTAGTGATTTGAACTCTCCTTCCTTCTCCTCCTTCCGATCCTTCCTTGGTTGAGGAACTAGATTTCAGCAGAGACCAATAGAGTCTCTCTCTAGGTTATGTCAAACTCACATTGTTTTTGTAGAATACGACGGAGAAAGGCTGGGGGTGTTGGGTGCGCTGATTGGGCATTACATGTTTGCAATGGCAGACAATTCCTTATCCTACATATTGTATCAAAAGTACGGTCGCCACCAGGGTCTCCTGCATTGGTAGGAATCGTCATTCTATTATATGTGGAAAATAAGGTCTTCCTTTCACGCGCGACATTCACTTAATGTCAATCTTCCTTTTCCAGGGAACAACCCTGGGCAATGGTTGCTCGAGGATCTGATGGTTACATTCCCCATCACGTCCGATCTGTTCTCATCCTTCTCGATAATGGAACCATCTCGAGCTTCTTTGCAGACATCACCATCCCCATTTTTGTGAGGATCCTTTGTGAAATTTTGTTAGATTTCATTTAGAAATGCAACATACAGAGGCATCATCACATTCAAGAGTCAAGATGCATAGATGCTCTTGTGAAGATGCTCGTTATTGAATGGATTTTCAGCGTGAGCGGGAATAAGTGGAGTTGATTTTCTTCCCTCTTTAGGGTGAGTTGAATGCAGCGACATACCCAATGTATACAAGGACAGGGAAGCCCCTGGTGATGGTTTTAGGCACGGAGTTCCAACGTATCGCCCCAGCCTCTATTCTTAGTCGTCTTGCTATTTCGAGCACTTACCCGCAATTCCATTTTGTCTGGCTCAACAGGTCTGCCTCGTCATTCTGACTCGATTTCACTTTTTCTGCCTGGAAGGATCTCAAATAGAAGAGAGACTTGGACTTGGTTTTCCAGTGGCAAGCCGGAAGTGTCGGTGGCGACGAAGGATGGGGGACGCGTGGTCATTCTGGACCAGGGCGAGAATAATGCATTCTGGTACGATGGAGACACTTCCTTGGAGAAAGACATTCGTGCTTGGATCTCCGACTACGTCGACGGGAAACTCTCTCCTCAATGTACGGAACGTTGATATTTTGCTCATGCATTCCATAGTATCCCAGGACTTATTCTTCTCGAGACAAAACTTCCTATGTCATACTAACCCAAACAGGGACTTCATTCTTTTTGGGACCGGGTCTTTGACTTGTCTTTTTTTCACGAAGAAAGGGAAGGTTCAGCAATTTTTTTCAATGTCAATACTTTCGTCTCATTTCTTCAAGTGTGACCTATTCTTTCATGGAGAAGATAAAGTTCCTAACGACACAGTTCTATGCGGATTGGATGTTCATCAATCTTCCGTGTTTGTGAAACAGGGGAGAGGCCGAGGGCGGACTGGGGACCGACTAAGGATTTCTACAATTACTTCGACCTTATTGAAGCCGACAGGAAGATGAAGTCCCAATTGCATTCTACGCCATTCTCATAGACGGAAAGCGAACTTATTCCCAGCACGAGAACTTTGTAAACGGGGCGACAATCGTGCTCAGTGTAATCCGAAATTCGGTCGTAGTATGGGTGCCTGGTGAATTCCCTGAAGACTGCAATCACAGTCTGAACTTCTCCGTCGTTCTTGGTTTTTGTCATCGGTGCAACTGTCTTTAAACGAAGAAAGCAAAACCCAGAGTGTGTCCTCGTCAGGCAAGTTCAAAGAACGGTACGGTTTCATGGATTTCGATTGATGTTCACTATTCAGCATGTAGCAGCACCATCTGTGGAAATTTATTTTTTCATTTATAAAAAAATATCGTCATCCTTTCTGAAATCCTTTTGGAAGGAGGAAATGCTCATCAATAAAAATTGTTTTGTCAATATATTCTCATGAATTAAAATATTATATTTAATTAAATCTAAGGTGGACACTCGTGAGTACTGAACTCTAAGTTTTCTTCCTTGGACCTTGGCTATGTGACGAATCCAGATCGAGAGGCCAAATATGTTGCCAAAATTGCTTGCTACATGAGGTGATCAGATCCAAGGTGATCGGTTATAACTGACAGCAAGCAGAGAGATTGCGTGTTCGTTCCTGATGGGATATGAGGGATCATAGATGAGCCCTCTGAGCACAGCCGAAGGGTCTTAATCTCCCTTTTGATTTTTGTACTCTTTGAGAATTAACACCTTAAGTTCAACCTGGACTTCTAACTGAACTTGAAGGTGCATCAAGGCAAGGTTAGCGAATGCGCATGCTTCATTGAACGACCAATAGGGAAAATATATGGGGATGGGAAGTAACAAGGGAATATTACCACATGTTTGTATGCATCTCAAAAACGGTCCTCTCTCTCTCTCTCTCGACTCTTGGGAGGACCACGACCCACAGGCAATCTGTTGGGGTTCGAATTGCTCCAAACAATACTTAAGTTAGGTGTTACTGAGATGTTACTCTCATCTTCCCAACCTAAGCTCTCAATCAGGAGACTGCTTCCCGTTGCTAAGATCGTCAAATATTAAGCGAGACTGGAACAACCTTCCTTGGCAAGGAAAACCACTCTCTCTCCATGCAATTTGCAAGAATTGCCAGGAGTCTTCTTGAGCTATATTACGTCCCTCAACAAATGAACTAATTGGAATGACTTCCTTCCTTCGGCTTGTACATGGAAAATGATCGAGTGGAGAATGAGAGCTTCCGCAGAACAATTCATTAGCGTTTAAAAGGAAATCAGGAAATCATACAAAAGTGGGTTCATTGCCACCTCCCTTAAATTGTGGGAACTTAACGTTTATTGAATGAACTGCTAGAGTCAGGCCAGAGGGCCTCGACGGGGCTGGGACTCTATCCAAGGACATCCAAAGGTAGACCCTGAGAGGATATCCTTGGAAGTTCCTTTTGCTGAACGTCCAATGAATGCCCAAAGAAGGGCCGACACATCGTTTCGTTCGTATTGTCGAAATCTAAATGAAATCATGCACTGGTCCAATTATAATGTCACACTAACTATATACCACGTATTGATTGAAGTTATTGGGTTGCGACCTAAGATGGGAGATTAGAAAAAAAGAACAAAAATCCCTCGATCGGATCCTCGTAACGCCATTCCATTAAACCTTCATTTAATAAGATGAAAGTAATTGAGTGTTCGATGTAGCGAAATTCTGCTCGAATGAAGCTCAGAATGCATGAGAATATATCGATCTATGGCGATGGCATCCTATGTACATCCAGTGGATGACGGCCTCTGGACTTATATCCAGCTCTGGACAACTGGACTGTCCCTGGACGAGTTTTGGATCACCCATGGCTACTTGGGTATCTACAATTAACAATATCCTGTTACCATTTCAGAATCCACTATTCAATTTCGCTGAAAGCAAATGACGTAACGCTTGTGATGATTTGCTCATTGATGGAATCTTCCTTTTTTATCTACAAAGCTAAAAAAAATTATAGCAGAAGACAGCCAAACAAAAGAATAGTGGAAGGAAAGCCGCTGGATGGAGAAGTACTCCGGAAATTTCATCTTTTCACATGGCACAAGTAAAAATTGTATGCGTTTTGCTCAAGGGATCGTCAAATTACTTCCAACCCTTGCCTTAAATATTTACCACTGTGAGACAGGGGTTCTCATAGCATCTCCACGACATGCACAGACCAGCAAAGGCTCCCAAGCATTTCTCAATTCCTTCCCCCCTCCCCCCCCTCCTTAACTTCAGACTGGAGTAAGATTGAGATGACCTCTTTCGTCAAGCAGCGATGGAAAGCCATCTGAGAATAGAACGAATAGGTGATTGGTGAAAACTTCCCTCCGCAGAGCCTTCGGTTACCAGAAGTTTCGTTTTTTTCTTTTCAAACCATCTCTGCAAAGCTTGAACAGGTCACATAAATTGGGGTAGTTCGCTTATTAAAATTTCCTGGAAACGTTCGGGACTATACTGTATATTGGATGCTGTAGTACCTCCCAACCCAATGTGCGCAGCGTGTCCGTGTTACTCTGAGCTGTGTGTGGTCGGGTGTTGTCGTGGAGGATGATGACTCCGTCGGTGAGGAGGCCCCGGGCCCTTGTTCTTCATCGCGCTTCGCAAACGGGTCAGTGTCTGGCAGTAACGTTCGGCGTTGACTGTGTCCATGTGCCAAGAACTCAATGAGCAATGGACGATATATGCTCGGTTTATCGCCCTGAGATTTCCATATCTTCAGGGCACTGAAACGGGACCTGAAAAGCAGGCATTTCCTCTCGGACGACGAAGTGAAGGAAGCAGTTAGGGATATTCTGCAGCAGCTTCCTTCAGCTACAGCATCCAATATATAGTCCCGAACGTTTCCAGGAAATTTTAATAAGCGAACTACCCTAATTTATGTGTCCTGCTCAAGTTTTGCAGAGATGGTTTGAAAAGAAAAAATGAAACTTCCGGTAACCGAAGGCTCTGAGGAGGGAAGTTTTCAGCAATCACCTATTCGTTCTTCTATTCTCAGATGGCTTTCCATCGCTGCTTGACGAAAGAGGTCATCTACAGACGCTGTAGGAGGACACCCTGCAGCGGCTTGTGACACAATGGGAGAAGTGCCCCAACGTCGGCGAGGCGTGTGTGTCACAGTTACCACAGTGTGTCACATATATGTGTGTCACAGTTTGCATCCAGAGCACCCTGGCCCACTTTCATTTAACTGGCCCTTGTATAACACGGCGAAGGCTGTTAAAGCTGTGTACTGCATCTCACTCCCGCTAGAAACATATTATACATGTAAAAATGTAGCTTCTTCCCTAAAACGAGGGAGGACTGCAACAAGATTACAGCTGATAAAAAGGAAGATTCGTTAACAGCCCAGAAACCTCTTCAACGACGCTTTCCGGACTCAAAGGAATATAAACTCGTCTCGAGTCTGGGTTTATACAACGCGTGAAAACCTTGAAGTAAACAAGAGTCTCGTACGTAGGAGTGGAGCGTGAAGAACCAGACGCTTGCGGTGAGGTAAAGGAAGTAGCAGTAGCAGACTAATCAGTTATCATCCGTGATTAGAAGACAATTCAATGAGCCAGTCGACACCACCCATTATTTTCATGACAGCTCGGCCGCCTAGCTTCGACTAGAAAGCAAAGCGAACAGTATCTCAATAGAAGACTCATGAAATTCTGGAGAGAAAAAATACATGCCTATTGTATAGGGAACGGGTTCAGGCGTGAATCACTTTTGACAAATCGCATTCCCCTGTATTGAATAGGAAGCACGTGGAAGCTCTTGTTGAACGTGGTCGTTCTTCATGGAGTCCGTCCCCTACCAGGATGATTGTGCTTTTTAGATGACAACCGGTATCAATCACTCAGTTCCTTTTCAAGGATATCCTGCATTCCGGGCCTGTGTGTGCCCAGCCACAGACACAGACAAAAAAACTGCTCCCTGTGGTGCGCGAGGTCAAGGGTTCTAAGCCCCGACGTTTATTATGCACTCTGACGAATATGTTTGCATTCATTTGAATGAAATCCCTTTGGCGAGTCCCTCGGCAACAGGGAAACCCCCCACAACACTCTTTCGAGGACACTCATCGCTTCAGATGACTGGGAGATGACTCTCTACAGCCGTCAACTGGCTCCATCTCACTTCGGTTGGGGTAACTGTGTTTCTTTGTGTAACTGTCAGATGGCAGGCCTGCTGCAGATATATTTCAGGCCTGGTTTTCGACTCACGCACCTTTACCGCCTGTACTGATTTAGTCGAGTTCTTGATGATTTCCGTTAAACTTGTCGGGATCTATCTAATGGCACCCATGACGACAGTGGACTCGGTTGGACTCTCATATTTCATGGAAATATTACGTTTTCAAGCAAAATAACAAAAATATGCTTCAAAAAAGTTTCATCATGTGAGAAAATCCCCCAGATACTATGGGATAAATACGTTACAATATGTTACGGCTCGGTATAACGCAGTTCGGCTGCAAGAGAGCGCTCATAGAAAACAGTAAGACAAGCAAATGCAATTCACTTTTAGTCAATGCATTTTTCCAAAGCCCCAGTGATGGGCCTGTTAAGGGCGGCTACTCAGTGATGGGCCATGTCGCAGGAAAATTCCAAAAACTAGGCATTTGTTCCATGACCACCTCTGAAGTGTGTATGTGCTTGAATGCTGCTAGCAATAGGAACAACAGAGGAAGGCGTGCAATGGAAGCTTAGCAATTGCAATTTTTATGTGCTGTGGCCCATCATTGGGGACCGGTCCATCACAGGGTCTTTTACCCTATATATTGAACCTCCTTTCAGTAAATCTTTAGTTTCCTCATTGCGGCTTGAACCAGCTGTCTAATCTGTCTAATGATGCTGATATCATTAGTGGACGCGATTGGACATGCCCCTGTTGTGTTTTCTACATGTTCCTGCACGATGCATGTCTTCATATAGCAGGGAATCATCATAAAAGGCCCATAGTCGTAGCTACTGTATTATTTTGAGCGAAAAGATTTAGGATCTTAATGTAGTAAGACTTTCCTTTGAATCGTAATTACCTACTTTTACCGATACATTAACGCACGATGAACGCTACCCTAGAAGTGCAGTGGTGCCCTATCAGTTTAAGCGCTGAATATTAAACTGCAAAATTTTGCTCATGCATATGTTCATGTACATGTACATGCACATGTCCATAACCTCCAATTGCATTTTATTTGCTGTCTGAAAATTTCCATTGCCCTAATTAAAATAAAAATCTGTAGCACAATTGACAGTAGTCAACAGTATTACAAATCACGGCCACGATTCTTCGCTGCTCGATCATGTATTGAAAAACGCCGAGGAGTGAAGGGATCGCATCGGTAGAGGGAAATGTCGGAAGGGAGGGAGAATAGAGGGAAGAGGGAGAATAGGGAGGTCTCCCGCATGGATCGAAGGGTTCTATGCAACCACGGAAGGCCTGACATTGCTTTTGCTCACGGTCGGTATAGGTATCTCCAACACTTCATATCGAGTGTCGTCGTTTCTCCTTTCCCTTGGCCCGACTTCTCTCCCAACATTGCATACATGCATCCCTTCGGTCGTGATTATTTCGGTGTTCATATTTTAGGAGGATGTCAGAGAATTTGCGGCAGACGAGAGTCATCCTAAGAGAGCAGTGAGCCATGAAAAAAATCCACGGTTTCAGTGATTCTTTTCATTTCTGCTTTTTTTCCGATTTGGCTTGAAGCTTATGAGAAGAAGAATGAGAGCATGACGAGACGGTTTTCCGTGCATTGCATCTTTTTATCCTTCACAGCCTCTTTTTTGTGCCTGCACGAACCCTTAATTGCGATGCTCGCCGATGGCACCCTTTAATATGCCAGGCATGAAAGGATCCCCAAACCCACGCCGGTCACTGTGTCCATTTTACTTTGCCCTTGACCAATAATTACGCGTTAGACAAGGTCTTTTTTTTCCCTACGTGCCTCTCACGAGATCTCATGTAAAAGAGCCAAAGCGCGTTCCATGTCTCATCGCTTGGGACTTCAAGATGACCTGTAGGTCGTATCATAATGGTTGTATGTACCTGTAGCCTTTTTATAATCTTGCGATTGGGGCGAACCGGCGCGAAACGCTACGAGAAACATTAAAATCCTATAAAAATTCCAATTTATTTGGAGGAGAGCCCAGATCTCCTTATTTTTTGCTTGAGAGTCGGTTAACTGACTCCTCAGGTGACCGGTTCAGTTTTACGTAATGCTGAAGGTGGGAAGGAACTAAGAATTCGATAATCTGGGATTTGCAATCCGAGACGCAATTATCAGGGAAGATGTGATCTCACAGCGATCTCCAACCTGCAGTTCAACCGAACTTCATTTTCTCGAGTAATTGCCGGATGGCTGGGCATAATGAAATCGCTGTAGCTCCCAAACCCTTCGCTTTAGAGGTGTAAAAGCAAGGCATAAGTGTAGCCGAGACATTGTTTCGAATGAATTTTAGCATCATCTTTGCACCAAATGACAAAGGTCAAAACAGTGGGAGAAGTTCCGTTTTGGTGTGTGGGCATGACGCTGCCATTCAGGCCAAAGATTCTTTTCGCAAAAACACCGATCAATACGTAGCAGGATACCAAAAAAATCCCAATGGTGGGAGGGGAGGGGGGGGGGGTTGACAACCCACCCTGCATTCAGCATATGGCCAAAAAAAATTTTTCTGAGAATCGAACCTGTAAAATGTATCTCAAAAGGGTTATGATCCCCAACCCTCCCCCCCCCCCACCACCATTGGGATTTTTAGTAAGTGGACGATGATGATGAATTTCTTTATGTTTTTAGTTCAGATTCCTTGAAGAGTCACCCGATTTTGCCGATATTTCGCGACCGAATTCCTGTCCTTACTGCATCTTTGAGTCTGAAAGTAAATTTCCATTGACAAAAGCCTCTCTTGAAAAAATTCAAAGGTCACAATAAACTCTAATTAATGGAGATGGATATCCTTGGCGCATGGAATCGACCAATGCAAAGTACGTAATATATACTGTATTTTGTTTATTTTCGGAAAAAAAAAACATTGAAACAGAGCGAGTAAGCTGCTTTTTCAAACGTCTTGGGTCAAGAGAAGCCATTTCGGAGAATGATGGCAAAAAAACTCGGCAAATTTTCTCCTTGCTTGTTCCCCACATGTCATTCCAGCGAGACTCCCAAACATTCCTCTGTCGCAGGGATGGAGTTCCGTGGATTCGTGGGCCTCCTTCCACCTCTACTGTGTTTCCTGGGCTTCGTGGAAGGAACAACGGATAATGAAGGGAAGAATCAAGCGACCATCCATGAATATTGCATCGTCGGGGCCGGACCGGCGGGTCTCCAGCTTGGTTATTTCCTACAACAAGCCAAACGAGATTATATAATCTATGACAAGGCCGATCGACCCGGTAAGACGTTTGCAATCATAGGCAAACGCTATCACACGCAAGACACATGCAGTCGAGGAAGGTGTATTGCGATCAATCGCAGCCACCTATACAATTAGGGCTATGAGTTCCTGTTCAATAATGACTGAGACCGTCGACGAGCGAAAGTCTCACCAATTTGAAGAAAGATTTTTCTGAATGATACAAACTGGAAAGTGGGGTGAGGATAGGATGAAGAATGGAAGTTCCTTTCATTTGCAAGAAGGGAATCGAGTGAAAGCGTCTGCTCGATGAGCCAAGGGATATCGTAGTTTTCCAATTGAGAATAATCTATTCCCATCTTTTTAATTAATTCGGCTGAGGAAGACTAAGGAAAAAAAGTTTTGGCGGTTTTGAATGGATGAGATATTTTGTACTTCTCTTCTGCAGGTAGTTTTTATCAGCGATATCCTCGGCATCGGATGCTGATCAGCATCAACAAGAGGTTCACGGGGAGAAAGAATCGACTCTTCAACGAGAGACACGACTGGAATTCCTTGTTGAGTCACGACGATTCCCTCAGATTCCCGCTCTACTCCGACGAGTTCTTCCCAAATGTAAGTGGAGAAAAGAGTAATACCGGTCTCTCGTGAATATATTATCAAAGTGGGTGATATGCCATCTCTCTTCCACTGTGACGAAGCAATGCTTGAGGAGGATAGGAATTCTTCCCTTTCTTCTCTTGGTCGCTCTTTTTCTCTCTTTCGATCGGTTGGAGAAGGCTTACCGCGTCACACCTAATGAAAGTATCCAGTAGGAAGCAAAAATAAGCTTAACCAAGTCGAACGATCTTGAGGAAATTTGGTGCACGAGCTACGAGCTCGTGATCCTTTTGTAATCGTGGAATTGATTAGAGTTTCCAACGAGTGAGATGGAGATCAGCAGGGGAACAAAACCTTGTATACTTCAATTTAAGTTGGGGTGAGGAATCGTGCTAATTGCTCAAAGGGGTTATCCAGAGGAATTTATTAATGGAAACAGGAACAGAAACTCCTAAAGATACGAAGAAAAATCAAGTCAAATTTCAAGCCCATGGGATGAGGCAACGTAGAGAAAATTTACCGAACGGCCGAGAATGAGGAAAAAGTGATGTCGTTCAATCCAGTTTCCTTTGCTTTTCCACTCAAGCCCCAATGCTATTCGGCCATTTTTAAGGGTTCAACTGCGGAGCCATGTCAAGATGAGGCCTCTGAAGCAAATTTCAACAAGCGTTTGATCGATCCAGGCCGAATGTGATACTGGACACGTATCAACTTGAAGGACGGTTCAGGGCGAATGCATGAAACTGATGCATAAGACTGATGCATAAGACTGATGCATAAGACTGATGCATAAGACTGATGCATAAGACTGATGCATAAGACTGATGCATAAGACTGATGCATAAGACTGATGCATAAGACTGATGCATAAATAGCACAGGAACAATATAATTTGTCGCAATGGTCTCGATCTATCCGACCATTGATCTGTAGAGCAGCAAGAAATCACACAAGTCGAAATCAATATTAATAATTTTACAGGGTCAAGAGAATCTTCGAACTTTTTACCTCTTGGATTTCGCTGTCGTGGCCATTACCTGCAGAAAGAGCTATCTTGACCATTCCGCAATGCGACCGAAGTGAAAGTTTGATGTGCTCTCAAAAACCTTATTTTTACAATGTCTAACTGTAAATTTTGATTAGAGCATGTGCCCTAATTTTATGATCCCTCTTCCTCCCTCTCGGGAAAAATTGGTTGACCCCCCGAAGGCCGATGACCTCGTGAGGTATATAGAGGACTATCACAGAAAGCTGGGAATCAACATTCAGTTCAACACAGAAGTGTTGAACATCACCCGATTGCCTTCAAACATGAAGACGCGGAATGGAAGTTCCTTCTTCATGCAGGATCAACACGGGAATGGACTCGGGTGCAGGTGAGAGCTCCATTTCGCGTCTCTTCCCAGGATTAAGCTTCGTTTTTGCATAAGAGTATGGCGAAACTTTTGAAAATTTTGACTTTTTGAATTTTTTAAATTTATGAGCTAACTTTCGATGTTCGATTCACTTCCTGCGTTTTGTGGGGCCTATGAGCACTCTCATGTCTCCAACGGCGTCTTTTCTCTTCGTTCGCATAGATCTAGACATTTTTTTAACGGAAATTTTATCATTTACGCGTCAACTTTCGCGTACATTTTCGTGAAGGAAACTTCCATAAAACCCGTTTTTCTTTCTCTCATCCATCCTCATTCGTATATTGTAACAATGGCGGATATGGAGAAATCGTGTAAGATGAGCAATGTGCACCGTAGAAAAAGAGGTCAGCAACACAGGAATACAAATCGAGCAATTTAGTTACGTGTAATCTAAAGGATGAGTGATGATCTAGGGACTCGCGGAAAGACTTTAGCCCCGAGAAGATGGTGAGCTCGATCGTGTCATACGAAAAACTGAAAAAAGGATTCACAGAGAGACTTTTCCATGCTCGCCTCATGCGAGCAATCTCTGCTTCATTCCAACGGATTTTTGAGACTTCAAGGTAGGTGTCACTATTTCGTGTTGTTTTTTTTCGCGCAGGGTGTTGATCGTGGCGACAGGGTGGTCGAAGCCGAATCTCGTGAATTTCCCAGGTTCCGAATACATGGAAAACTACAGCGATTTCGATGTGAATCCCAGGAAATACGAGGGGAAGTCTGTCTTGATCATCGGCAGAGGTAAGAGCAAAGAAAAGGGAATTTGCAGACTGAAAGGAGCCGGATCTTCTCGCTTCCCATTTTCTCATCGCTCCGCTGTCCCAAAGGGGGTCAGCATTTCTTTCGCTGGAAGGGAAAGCGGCAACCTTGTTTTCGTTAATGGTCGTCGTTGACACCAAGGTCTCTAGACGAAAACAATGGCAAGCAACTAAGCGAGGAAGTGCTGAAGGACGGGGACGATCATAAGGCTATCTATTCGAATTTCTTGCTCTTTTATTCCGCGTAATACGCGATGCAGAAGAACGGCAAGTGCTGCAAAGAATTCCCTGTCCTCCAGACGTTTGGTGGTTCTCTCATGCCTGTAGTGACTTGGGTACCTTTCTCGCTCATTCATGACTGCTTCACTCGTGTCAGGGGTTTTCCCCGCCCCTAATTCCGTTTGGCAGATTTTCTTGAGCCCATTCTCTCGCCTGGTAGAAATGACATGTTGATTTGTATCACATGCTGTTGAAACACGAATGCGTGGTACTTAACCCTAATTAGGTCCTTCAGTCTCCTCTGATTCTCCACTTTCTATGGGATTCTCATTCTAGAGAACTACGTGATGCGAATGCGACATGCGTAGTATCTGGGTCCTGGTCACAGGACTAGATGCAACAGCTTGCATCGCATGCCTTCTAAATATCTATTTTATGCTTGGGCGTCTATGTCCGCAAGCACCATGTGCGCATGCGCGGCGCCTTCTTGAGAATCTCTTTTGAAGCTGGCGTATCTATTAATAAATCACATGGAGCAAACATGTGACACTAGTTGGGTGAATTTACGGAATGACGTATTTTCTCATAGGCAACTGTATGTAACAATAGGTAGATTTAGAAAATAGAGGCCCAGCCAGTAATCGGCAGCAAAAGAAATTTCTCATAACTCTATGATTGGGTCTCTGTGTGTATGTCCGCATATAAGCGGCACACTTCTGCCATGACCTCCGGGTGTACGTCTCCCTCTTTCGGGCTAGCATTTTCTTTCCATTGCCGTTAAAGCGACTGTCGGAATCTACTTGTCCAGGACGCAATGGCCGGGGGGTTAGAGTTCTGGAGGAATGAAGGGAAGCGTTAGAGCGGGAAGCGAACCCGGACTCTCTTGATTGCCGGTCAAGCGTGCTACCACTACACCACCGAACCCTTGCCGTCCAGTCGTATCTCTCCATGCCATCCCTAACGCTACAACAGGAGAGAGAGACATTCTACGCACACCCTCCGCTCCCTAACTCCCTACTTCGGGGTGTCGGATACGGACTTTTTCGCAGGGACGCGTATGATACTTTCGCCTTTCATCCCTGGAGGAAGGATGACTTCCTCGCCAATATGAGATTTCCGCCCATATATATATATCGGGATCCTGATCCCTTTATCGATCGGAACCCCGTCCTCGTATCGATCGGCACTCTCACAAGGAGAGTGACTCCCGAGGATGAAAACGGCGGGACTATATGGAACAGGAGCCCTTACCCTTGAATTGGAAAGATGACGTCGGCCGCGTCGTAGCCATTCCGTTTCCCTATCCATATTTTTCACTCATTGGCCTACGTGAAAAATGGTGGAGATGGACTTTACGGACGATACGTACAGGGTCGCGATCGATAATGGATAAAAGTGCCACTCTGAAAGTCCCTTTCGAAGGCGTGAATACCCCTTGGGGAAAAGGGGGAGGGGGGGCTGAACAAGAGTATAATGTCCGAGCGGCTGCTGCATAGAGCGTTGAAAGGGCACTGACTGAACTCGTGGATTCCCGACAATGTTACACGCTTAAGTCTAGGCCAGAGATGTCAAACTTGATTAAGCTGGAGGCCAGATGGAACTCTTCAAGAGTGGTTGCGTCCAGATTAGCAAATCTTACATTTAAGTTTCAATAGCTAACAGGTTGAAAAAGTCCACGCTTTTCAAAGCCAACTGATGAAGAGGACATAGCGGGCCGGACAAAATTAACTAGGCAGTTTGACATCCCTGGCTTAGGCCGACTCGAAGTTCGTGGACGTCTTCCACGGGTCAGCTAGTAGTATCTTTAATCGCCGATCCACGTGTTCGGGTGGCAATACCTCAAATTTACCAACTTTTATTTCATGTTTTAGTAGTGTGAGTGTCAAAGACGAGAAAAATTGCTTGCAAATGGCAATATAAATGCGGTTGATTTGACGGGATTCCGCACGACGTGCAGTTGAGAATGAAAATAAGTGAAGCGAGGAGAAAAGCAGAAGTTGAGCAATGCTTTTTCTCTCAAACATAAACGGCACCAAATGTGAAACGAGGAAAGTTTTGCTCCAAATATTTTATCTCGAAATAGGAACATCCTATCGTAAGAGTGGAATGAAACGTCAAATACGCAACGATTTGGCAGTCTGGGTGAGAGACAGCTGTCGAAATGCAGAGGCACTTGCCCAGTCAGCAATTTATCCCCAGGCCAAGTGTGTTCATCTCCGCAGTCAGATTTTCAAAGTTTGGCTCACGTTCACGAGCCGCACATGAACACGTGCGCCACGGGTGTAATATGCATAGGACATAAAGTAAATGTCCGCGTTTTCTGTGGCACCCAGTCTAATACATCTGTGGGTCAAGTGCGGCTTATGTGTATGGCAAGTCTGCGAGAAGCAGAGCCATGATTGCGTATCTGCATGTGTAAGCATGATACGAATGAGGTGTATGCATGTGCCACTCCATACATACTATTCCCTCTATGACCAGTGCAGTATACACGAATTTCAATTCCTAGTTTCCTCATTCCGACCTCGGTACAGAGAACCGAGGAAGTGTATCCGCGAACATCGTTGCTGTTCCAAAACTCCTTGTGGGCGAGGTTAACCAGATTAAGTAAAGGATTCTTATGGGGAATATGATTTTGTTTATAGCATAGAATAGAGAGTATAAGTAGAGGCGACACTCCGCTCGGATCCCATTCATTAACAGGGTCGCAATATAGATGTCACTGTCGATCCTCCACTTAGCGGGCGCAAATCAACAACTCCTCCATGGCCGAGCAACGGACTCGACGAGACACGCGTGTTACGTTGATGCATCCCTTTGGGCCGAATCTCCGAATGAGTCGATGTCTGATTCCGCTGCCACGAAGCACGCCTCAAGGAAGTGTTGTTGATAACATGCCACCAGATGTCTCTGTAATATTACGACTCTCCCCTACCCATTGTAGTGTCGCCTCTAGTTACACTCTCTACTCAATGTTTATAGCCTGGGCTCCATGAATCTGTCTCGAATATGAGAACAACAAATGAGGAAGTGCCCGTGTTTTTCATTTCTATAATGAGATTAGGCGAGACATCTGATGAGGTACAAAACACTCCTGTGAAGGACGATTCCAGGGAAAGAAGGAAGGCACTTTGGTGCATTGTGTGAAAACCAAGAGACACACCTACATCTAGTGGCATGGAGGAGAACTTCAACTTTTCCTAAAGCTTATAAGTGCAACTTTGGCACAGTGAATCTTCGCGGTCATTTTTGAGTTATGTACCTCATGATCAAAATGATACGTACGGTTCTCATCAAAGCTTCAAAGCATATCCAGAAGTTTCCATTGATCCTCAGTCGAATTGCACTAGTGGGTGCTAGTCCGCAAAGCGCGGGCTAAGTATGCAAGACTTTCCTGAGCCACTGAAAAGCCACAGAAACGCCACAGCTTCCGCAGATACGCGAATCTATGGCCACACATACACTACTGACTGAGTGGCAGGCTATTTTATTGTGCTTCCTTTACTTCAGGAAATTCCGCGTTCGAGACGGCGGACGCCATCTATAAGTACACGAACTTCGTGCACATGTTAGGCCGTACTCGGGTTCGTCTTTCCTGGAACACCCACTACGTCGGAGACGCCAGGTCTGTCGCTTTCTTAGAATAAGAAACTACTTATGAGAAAATGACACAGGACTCACTCGAGACGTGGCTTCTCCAGAGGCGTGAACAACGCGATCGTGGACACGTACCAGCTCAAGTCTCTCGACGGTCTCCTGGAAGGCGACATCAACCGATTCAAGTTGATTCGGAGAAACGGGAAACTCTACATTTCTCCGAATTTTTACGACCGATACAACACCGCGAACCTTCCTCGGGTGAAGCCAAACGGCGAGAACGCCATGGACAACTTTGCTTTGCGGATCCCCTATGATCACGTGATCGCCTGTTTGGGATTCGTCTTCGATAGCTCCATCTTCCACGAGTAAGTTACTTTTGTCGAAATCGAGCGTTTCCGTTTGCTCTACTCGATTCCCTGCAGACTCTTCTAATTACGGACGTCATCCAGAAATAGGAAATATTTATTAAGCAATTCCTCCAGTGTTCTCACAAAAAAGAGAGGTATCTTGGTTTCCAGAGGAATAATCGAAACATGCTGCAGATACTCATGAAGTTGTCTGTATTTCTTAGGGAAATACCGCTGTATCATGTAAGCGCACAAATACTTTTTATTTTACTTGAAATGTTTTGCAACGACTCTGTCATTCTGGCCCTCGGAANCGACCGATACAACACCGCGAACCTTCCTCGGGTGAAGCCAAACGGCGAGAACGCCATGGACAACTTTGCTTTGCGGATCCCCTATGATCACGTGATCGCCTGTTTGGGATTCGTCTTCGATAGCTCCATCTTCCACGAGTAAGTTACTTTTGTCGAAATCGAGCGTTTCCGTTTGCTCTACTCGATTCCCTGCAGACTCTTCTAATTACGGACGTCATCCAGAAATAGGAAATATTTATAAAGCAATTCCTCCAGTGTTCTCACAAAAAAGAGAGGTATCTTGGTTTCCAGAGGACTAATCGAAACATGCTGCAGATACTCATGAAGTTGTCTGCATTTCTTAGGGAAATACCGCTGTATCATGTAAGCGCACAAATACTTTTTATTTTACTTGAAATGTTTTGCAACGACTCTGTCATTCTGGCCCTCGGAATTTTTTTTTTTTTATCTCCGAGCGAATTTCGAATTTTATTTGCGCTGCAGATCGACGAAGCAGAAAATGGCGGCGAATATCCCGAAATTCCCGGCCATAAGGAACGATTTCCAGTCTTGGAACACAGCAGACCTCTACTTTGCAGGCGCATTGGCCCATTCCCTGGATTATCGCAAATCCGCTGGGGGTTTCATTCACGGATTCCGTTATTCAGGTGAGAAAAAATAAATTTGTGGAGTACCGTTCGGTAATCCGCCTCGGTATCGAATCAATTGGCATCTCCCTCCATTTCAATTGGTTCGTTGAATCACTTAATGGTTTCACACGCTCGGTTGAGCGAGATAAAGAGGAAACGTGATGTGGCATTTGGATCGGAAACTGCTGATTTGAAGGAGATGGAAGCAAAAAAGCGAGAAGGAAATCGCTGGACTCTATCGTTTCTCACCATCTGAGACTTGCAATCAGCAATAGATACTGTGATGAGTCAGATGAGACCTAGAATTTTAATCTGATCAGATCTCGTCAGTGTGTCTGGATGGGAAACACATTGACCTGGTCAGGTGGAATCCGGTGTATTGTCGCTCGTGATACGCTCGTGATATGTTAATGAGATGAACATTCTCCAAATTTCCAAGGAAAAAATATCTTCATTTGAAATGTGCCCCGACTTAGCATTTATCTCGTAAAAATGCTTCTTTCTCGCCTATTTAATCACGAATTGTCTATTTTTCGTGAAATTTGTGTTAAATCCGTGATTTTCCCAAAAGAGCAGGTGCACATTCTCTCTTCCTTAACTCCGTACATTCCTGACATTAAATTCTCAAGGAAAGGAAGGGTTTTTGTCGATGCCCATGAGGAAAGGTAGAAAATGAATCAGAAGTGAAGGCAAAGACGATGCCAAGAAGAATTTGCGACAAGGGAGAAAAAAATACACATCCCCTTTTCCATCTCCCTTCCTTCCTTTCTATGAGGAAAAATTCCACGGTGATGGAGGAGATGCATCGGTCATTGTCTCTCGTCACGATCCCCTTTTAAACCTGCCACGACCTGTTGAGGCGAGGCGATGCCATCTCCTTCCAAAGTCATTGCAACCGATCGCACTTCCAGGAGCAAGACCAGGCATAGAATGGGTTGGAATTCCATAAAACTTCGCAGAACCTCAGAAAGGGCTTAAAGTTAAAAGACGAAGGCATCGGCGAAGAGCAGGAGGAAACACAACAAATCAGAATTTTCATTTCACGGTTCGTTTCGGGCCAGAGGTATCATGATTGGAGCGAGGAATAATTATACATATTATATTGTATTATTCTCCGATTATATTGTATAATCGGAGAATGAAAGCAGGATACGGGTATGAGAATTAAAAAAAAAGCAATATTGTCTCACCTATCCTTACAGAATTGGAACTGAAATGACTTCTTGTCACATGTGGCAATTGAATCCAGTTTTATACTCATATTTGATATGAATAATAAGGTCTCTTGCGACAGTGAGGAGCCTACATAGGATCATGGAGTACCGGTACCACGGACGCCCCTGGCCATCCACCCGGTATCCAATGTCCGAACTGTTGAATGTGCTCGTGAAGAGGATGAATGAAGCTGCTGGTCCATATCAGATGTTCTCTTTCCTCGGTGATGTCGTCATCATCCTTAAAGAGTCTGTCTTCCGATCCATACTGACTATCGTTGTATGCATCATGAGCGGGTATCAATTGCTTTGTTGCAAGCTATGCACAATCATTCGAAAACTTGAAGAGATGAATGTACGTCACTGTAGAACGGGAGGGCGTGATTTCATGTCTCATGTAAGCTGGAAGGCTGGGGGAAAAACCTTTTTGGTGAATGCAAATAACAGGTTCTCGGAACTCATGGTTCAGCCAATTCGTTTTCGAGTAAGTCCTGCTCGACGGGCACGATCTGCATCTAATTGCGATATTTCCCCGCACAGTACATTTGTGTACCTGGAGGAATTCCCGGTGAAACTGCTTCCACATTTCACGGAAGTGACGGGTCACAAGGGCTCACAGATCCTGGTTATGATCAATGAATACGGTCCGGAATTCTCCGGCTCGGACGTGAACACGTTGCGTCTCGGCAGGTCGTCCTCCGGGAGAGCCAAGGATGCTCATAAATCCAACTTCTTGCATCCTGTCCTCTATTTCTACGACGGATATCTTCCCAGCGGTAAGATAAGCGACAAACTCAAGAAGTTTGCATCCTCGTGAATGTAGTGGTGTCGAGTTTCGATGAAACTCTAAGGCGTAATTATTTTAAATCGTTTCGCAAATACTCAAAAACTCAATGATGTCAGAATAACAACTCTTCATTGTATTGAAGGTCTATACGGAAAACTGGTAATCACTGCGAAAGAGCTATGTGAACATGTGGCTCAAGTTTCTCTTTCATTTTCTTACTTTTTTTCATTTAAACGTAAGTGAGAATGGAGGGTTAGACCATGAAATATGTCATATGATTCAGTCCTGCTCAGCATTGACATCGAAAGTAGAAGACTTTACAATATTCAATGTTAAAGGTGGAGTTATTGAACAGAGTCGATTTTCCATCTTTTTCCATAGCTTGCTGCTCTAAAAATCTTGGAAAAATCGCGGACAGTCACGAGATAATAAAAAAAACTCATACAGATTCGCTCAGAGACTGAATGTGGGGACATGAGAGTGTCGTCTGATGAGCTTCGGCACTGCAGTAAAAAAAAAAAAAAAAAATTTCTTTTTTTACTGGGTATAGATGAAGAAATGACGAATTTGGGCCTGGAAAATTGGTCGTACAGCCTGCCGAAGCCAAGCAAGCTCCACCACGTGTCCGAAGATTTTCTTGCCGTCTGGTTAGGGTCCATGGCACACATCCTCCCCCTGAGGAGGTTCCTCGAGGTCATCACTGGACAGGATCTCCGGCGTCACTTCAACGTTCGATGCTTTGAAGTCGCCCTCAATTTCTCCAATGTTCCTCAGAGCTGTCGCGACTTCCTCGACGGCCGGGGACTGCAGATCTCCGTGCGAGAGGGAACTGATATCGCGAACTACCTCGTAGGGCCTCACTTCGGAATGCTTGCGATCGAATAAGGAATGTGTAATGATGAAGGCTTCTTTTCAGTTGGGAGAAACTCAAGCAGAGAAGAGGAAAGCGGAATGCACGGAGGAAGACCTCGACTGGGTTCCTAGTCAGGTGAACAGGACGAAAATACTCGAAAGTCGACTGAAGAAGTTCTATGGAAACGGGAATGGCGACATCTTCGCCCGTGATCACAAAGACGACATGGAAGAAATGCAATGTAAGGACAAATTTTCTTCACGTAACTAAAAAAAATTTCTGACGGAAACAATTTTTTTTTTGGATGAGCAACGAAGATTTAATGGGAGATAATTTACCTAAGATGTCCCTGTATCGAAGAGATTCCTTACATCGCATGGAATTAGTTTCATAGTGAAAGTAGGTAATTGCAGGAAAACCAACAAGTATATAAAAAATTTGGACTCGTCTAGCCATATCCTTAATCTACAAGGATAAACAACCCGAATACCTTATCGAGGACGACGACGTGCAAATGATTTGGCGTTGGTCCCGGTCCATCATCTTTTCCCGAAACTACAATCCTCCTTTGGACATCCTGACTGATCAGGACTATCGGGCAAGGATCGGTCGCGTTCAACATGGCCTCATTTTGTTCTACCTCCCGTGTGAGTCGCATTCATCGTCTAATCATCTTCATACATCACCAATTGCCATAAAATGTAGTTCAAACAAACCTCATTCAATCATCTTGATTTTGAGGTTCTTATACGAGGTAAGCACGCAAAAAAGGTTATTAATATGCAAATTTTTTGCCTTATAGGAAACATGTATACAATCGAACTACGTTTATTTCTCGTTCGCGCGTACTCGATGATAGGGTCATTCAAGGAGTGCCACAAGACATTTCAGCAGAATTATGCGTGTCACATCACACCATCTGAATCCTATATTCAGAAATTAGTGAAGAAATTGGAAACGACAGGAAGTGTCGCAGATCAGTATATTGGTGAGCATCAAAAGATGTCGGAAGAAACAGTGGAGGACGTTAGGCAGCGGCTCCTGGATTCACCGACCAAGTCATCACGTAGACTGCCACAAGAGAGCGGCAAGTCGTACTCTACGTGTCAAAGAGCTGCTAAGAAGTCGAAACTTCGCCCTTACCGCGTGACTGTGGTTCAAGAATTGTTGCCTCCTGACAACGCTAAACGTGTGCGGTAATGCGAATGGTTTCAGCAATTGCTGCACGAACGTCCCGGAATACTGGACCTGACATGGTTTACAGATGAAATCATGGTTTCATTTGAATGGCTACATAAACTCACAGAACACACGTGTATTGGCTGCCAATAATCCACATGCGATACACGAGGAGCCAATACATCCTACGAAGATAGGCGTTTGGTGCGCCATTTCCAGGACCCTCATTATTAGGCACATTTTCTTTGATACCTCGGTGAACATACGTGTCTATTTTTCACGAATTCGTAAACCAGTTGACTGACGAGGATCTGATTCATGGGCATTTCCAGCAGGACGGAGCAACATGCCACACTTCGAATGCAAGCATGGCGGAAATTAAAAGCCTTTTGGAGACGGTAATCTCCAAAGGCCTATGGCCGCCCAGGTCTCCTGATTTAACTCCGCCGGTTTTTTTTCCTATGGAGCCTACTGAAGGGAAAGGTGTAGAAGAATAAATCTCGCACCATCGATGACCTTAAGGCTAACATTGCGCCGGAGATAGCAGCCATTCCAGAAGCCCTGCTACACCGAACATTCGATAATATGGAACGTCAGGTAAAATTATGTTTAGACGCCCAGGGAGACCACATTCAGCATATGATGCAATTTAGGTCAATTTGTAATGGAATGAGGTCTATTTTAACCAAATTTGATGGAAATCTGCTTATAAATAAAGAAAATATAAGCTAAACCCCTCTACCTAGTGAGTCACCCTGCACTTCCAGAAATTGAATTGCTGGAAAAACTAGATCGGAATACTTTGGATGATCGGAAGAAATGTATTGTATTGTAGGGGAGAGCAGGAGCCGCACGGTGAAGGAGCAACTCCTCAACATCTTGATGGACTTTCACAAGGATCCAGATTTCCAAGTGCCGTTTCTGGGTGCTCTAGATTGCTTTGATTGGCCATTAGTCTGCGAACAGGAGAAGATAATAGAATATCCGACCATCAGAATCATCAAAGACGGTCAAATTCTACATTATGGGAAGCAATTAACCATCAAGGATCTCACTTCAACCCTCAAGCTGTGAGAATTCAAAGGACATTTGGAAAGTTAGAATGGACATTTCTGACTCCAATGACTCTTTCTCTTCTGCAAAGGTTGCAGAGGCCAGCTGTCGAATGTATCGAAACGGTAAAAAAAGCCGAAGATTTCTTGTCTTTCAAAACTCTCGACAAATATGAAGTGGAGCAGAACGTGATCCTCATCTGGCCGGATCTTACCAGCAGTGAGATATGAACCTTCTTGTTACTGTTTTGTCACCAGCGGCGCCAACATATCAATACATAAATTTTAGGGTATTCTTGCAATATTTTTTTTTTCCTGTGTCATATATTCTGTGAAGGGGATTTTGTTGGGATTCGAACTCTCTGAGCCTTCTTTGGTGTCGAAACTGGACTCCAGCCAAGGGAAATAGAATCCTTCTCATATAGGTAGCTCACGATTTTTACAGAATGCGACACAGAAAAGCTGGAAGTGTTGGGTCCCTTGATTGGGCATTACATGTTTGCCCTGGCAGACAATTCCTCATCCTACATCTTGTATCAAAAGTACGGTCGTCACCAGGGTCTCCTGCAATGGTAGGAATCCGTGATATATGGGAAATGAGGCCTTCTTTTCCCGCACGACATTCACTTTCTTCATGCCAATCTTTCTATTTCAGGGAGCAACCCTGGGCATTGGTTGCTCGAGGATCTGATGGTTACATTTCCCATCACGTCCGATCTGTCCTCATCCCTCTCGATAATGGAACCATCTCGAGCTTCTTTGCGGACAACACCATCCCCATTTTTGTGAGGATAATATCCTTTGGGAAAACATGATAGACTTGATTCATTGAATGCAAATACAAAAACATCACTGTGTTCATATGTAAAGATGCATTTGCTCGTTTTTGAAAAGATCTTCCAGATGAGCGGGAATAAGTTAAGCTGGTTTTCTCCCCTTTTTAGGGTGAGTTGAATGCCGCGACCTACCCAATGTATACGAGGACAGGGAAGCCCCTGGTGATTGTTTTAGGCACGGAATTCCAACGTATCGCCCCAGCCTCTATTCTCGGTCGTCTTGCTGTTTCGAGCACTTACCCGCAATTCCATTTTGTCTGGCTGAACAGGTCTGCCTCGTCACTCTGACTCGATTTCACTTTTTCTGCCTGGAAGGATCTCAAATAGAAGAGAGACTTGGACTTGGTTTTCCAGTGGCAAGCCGGAAGTGTCGGTGGCGACAAAGGATGGGGGACGCGTGGTCATTCTGGACCAGGGCGTGAATAAGGCACTCTGGTACGATGGAGACACTTCCTCGGAGAAAGACATTCGAGCTTGGATCTCCGACTATCTCGAAGGATATCTCTCTTCTCAATGTAGGGAACGTTGACATTTCGGTCATGCATTGCTTAGCATCCTAGGAGTTATTCTTCTCGTGACGAAACATTCTCCGATGTACTACAAATGCAGGCCATAATAACCCAACGAGTGCGTACATTTTTTGGAACCGGAATTAGGGGTTCTCAGGTTTTCTTTTCATAACTAAAGGAAGTAAAGAAAGGTTTTGAAATCTTTTATTCGAATGACGCAACTTTTTTCTCTTTCCGTCAAGTGTGACCTCCTTCGTGAGATGACGAAGGTCCAAACGATTTCGTTGCATGCAGACTGAATGTTCAGAAGAGTTATGTGCTTATGGAACAGGGGAGAGGCCGAGTGGGGACTGGGGACCGATCAGGGATTGCTACGACTTCCTAAACCTCGTCGAAGTCGACATGAAGGTCAAGATCGCATTTTATCCTACGTGATTGTCGGTCAGAGACGGGAGGCTGACCTAATCTCGGCACAAAAATTTTGTAAACGGGACGACAATCGTGCTGGGTGCAACTCAAAATTTGTTCACGGTGAGTGCCTGGTGAAGTGCATCAAGCCTGTAATCACAGTCTGGTAATCTCCGTCGATTTTAGCCTTTGTCATCGGAACAGCCGACTTTAAACGAGGAAAGCTATACTCAGTGTATGTCCTCTTCAGACAAGTTCGAAGACCGGTACGGTCTCTTGGTTTTCGATGAGTGTCCATAATTCAGAATTCAGCTGCACTATCGTCAGAGTGAAAATATTGTTTTTCCATTTTTCATATGCATTTTTTCGTTATCCTTTATGAATTGCTCGTGGAAGGAGGAAGTTGATGATCAATAAAAAAAATTGATCTGTCAAAATATTCATCAATTGAAATATTGTTTCTTCAACCCTTTTAGGGGTAACAATAAATCGTCGTTTTTAGCCTACGAATCGGCTGCATGGCACAAAAAGGGTTAAGGTTGAATGCTCGTGAGTATTGTTCTGCTCTCATCTCCAATTTTTCCTTCGTTGACTGAAGCTATGAGTTCATCTCCTCAAAGACCATAATGCGCTCTGCATTCCCAGTAAAAAAAAAAAAAAAACGCAAATTCCTGTGAAAATAAACAATCAACAAAATAATACGCGCTGATATTAGATATGATGTATAATGTAAACTAATATACATTTAAAATTAATATCATATTTACAAATAATAAGTGCACCCTTTAATGTCGCTACGATCAAGCACGAAGTTTTATACAAGAGGAAACATTTTTGCATTCAAAGTGATATTTTAGTTAGTGGAGTCATGCTCTTAGCAATTATTCTAATTTCTACTGTTTGTAGCAGCTCTCAACAGAGGAATGTACTTGACTCTCAATCTGGGAAGTTCATGCGACAAGTTACAAAATGGCGAACCCACGTCGAGGGCCAGAAAATATTCATTGAAAATTGAAAATACATGGGGTGATAGAGCCGTGGTGCACGTACTCTGAATACTGTTATGTAGTTTATGCCAGGCTGGACTGCGATTCGACGCGTCGAGGGGTCGCGGTCGACGAGTGAGTCGATGTTGTCGCGGGCTTCCTGTGAAATGGGCTTCGTGTTCTTGGGTTTCAAGGTCACGATCGAGTGGGATGCCATTCCAGTCCAAACATGCCTGGACTTGATCGAGAGCATGCCATGAAGGGTCCAGGCAGTGTTGAGAGCCAGAGGCAAATACACAAATATTAATAAATTCACTTTTCTGTATGCCTGAGTGAGAGGGACGAAACTTTGACAGTTAACTAGTTGGCTATGACCAGCTGTAGCAAAAGATGAAATAGGAACATGGAACTATCCTTTCGAGATAGTGAGTGGAAGGATTTTGAATTAAGTCATGATACAAGTGAAAAAAGGAATAAAAAAACTTCCACATGGTCGTCAGACATCGGAGACCCAGAGGGATCCAACTTGGTGGAGTTCAGCTGCCTTAAAATCGGCATCTAGCTATAAAAAAAAGTATCTTCCACAGTTTTCGCTAGAATGTAATCTCGTCTTGTGGAGATGGATTCTAGCATCCAAGTTGTGTCTCATAAGAGGAAGTCGGAGCGATTTCAGAAGAAATTGACCGGGGAAGAATGGGAAGCAGTGGCGAAGCCTGGATTTCGCCCATGTCGGGGAACGGAAGGAGAACTAGAATTTCCCTTACTTCTCCTTGGGGGGGATTATTTAGAACAGAGTTGGGGGGCTGAAGCCCCCCCCCCCCCCTTCCCCCCCTTCCCCGCTACACCACTGACGGGAGGCCGTGCATTGTGAAGCGAAAATGGCATCCTTCGTTCAGGTTGGCTTGGCTCTCTCTCTCCAGAGGCTCCAGCCACAAACGTCAATGGGCACCATCTCCCTTCGATGGCGGTAAGTGTGTCTGTGTGACTGCCAGATGGCGGACCAGCTACTCCTTTATTTCACTGCAGGGTTTTCGATTTCCAACTCACAAATCTTGAAAGACTGTCCTGATTAGGTCAAGCCCATGAACATTTCTTTTACGCTCGTAGAGATCTATTGAATGACATCTGTGAATGCGATTGAACTCTTATCTTTCAGGGCAATAACACATTTTTCGGCAATAATAAGAAATGGTGTACAAAAGGTTTTACCACGTGAAAAATAAAAATCCTCCGATGCCAAGTAATAAAGGTACCAAATTTAAATGTTAAATGTACCTGTTTTCTGAAGTTTTCCTGAACCCTAATTAAAATATGCTTCTGTAACACTTGACGGTAGTCACCTGTATTATAGAACATGTCGATAAAGATTCTTCATTGTTCGATCATGGGTGCATTGAAAAGCGGCGAGGAGTGGAGAGATCATATCACTAGAGGTAAGAGAGAAGAGGGAGAGGAGAGAGAAGAGGGAGAGGAGAGAGAAGAGGGAGGTCTCCCGTATGGATCGAAGGGAACTATGCAACCGCTTATGGCTTGCCACTGCTTTTCTTCCCGATTGGGATCGGTAACTCCAACACTATACCGAGTATCACCGTTTTCCCCTTCCTTTGCCCTCTCTTTTCTCTCAACATTGCATATGTGCAGTTTTTCTTTAAAGACTACTTCGGTGCTCAAATTTTACTGGTAAGTCAAAAGTTTGCGAGAAGCGAGAGCATGCGAAAGCAGTGAGCCATGAGAAAATCCACGGTTCCAGTGATTCCTTTCATTTCTGCTCTTCGTTCCGGCTTGGTTTGAAGCTTATCAAACGAACGAAAACAGAGCATGCAGCCTCACGACAGGAGCGGTTTTCCGTGCATTGCATCTTTTAACTCTTCACGGCACCTTTTTTTTTTTGTCTGCGCGAACCCTTACTTGCACGCACGCCGATGGCATCCTTTATTATGCCCGACATGAAAAGATCCCGATACCCACATCTGTGACTGCGTTCGTTTTCTTCTGGTCGGGGTCAATAGGAAACCTGGGCAAATAATTGCTCAGCAGACAAGGTCTCCCCATTTTTTTTTTAAATCCCAAGTGCCTTATTGAACTGACGCGACGATTCGGTTTTAGGATAATCTTCCCTTGGGGCCTGAAACCACATTTCCATATGCACTCAAGCCTCTTGGAAAAGCATCTCTCTCCCTCTTTCTCCCTCTCTCCCTCTTTCTCCCTCTCTCCCTCTTTCTCCCTCTCTCCCTCTTTCTCCTTCTCTCTCTCTCTCCCTCTCTTTCCTGTCTCTCTCTCTCCCTCCTCTCTCTCTCTCTCTCTGCGAACAGTGATTGATGGTAAGAAGTCAAATGTCACGATATATTCTCATTTATGCAAGTGAATATCCTTGGCGCATAGAATCGACTACGATGAATCAAAATTTCGTCTCATGCTTGTCTTCAGAGGCCTTGAATCAGAACCTGTTATTTGCTTTTTTAGACCTCTCGGGTCAAACGATTAGCCATGCAGAAGTGTCGAAAGTCTTTTATTTTGTGTATTAATTCAGAGAGGTGACTATGAAGATGTGGTCTATTCAAGTGCATGCCATCCATATAGTGACTTGACTGTAAGTCTATAAGTTTGACCTATAATGATTTGACTGAAGCCATATCAGAGAATGATGGAAAAAAAAAACTCGGGAAAATTTGCTTTGCATCTTCCCCTGCATCACGCAATTCCAACGAGACTGCCAAGTTCTTCCTTGTCTGTTGCAGGAATGAAGTTTCGTGGATTCGTGACCCTCATGCCACCTCTGCTATGTTTCCTGGGCTTCGAGGAAGGAACAAGGGATAATAAAGGGGATAATGAAGGGAGCAATCAAGCGATTATCCATGAATATTGTATCGTCGGGACCGGGCCGGCGGGTCTCCAGCTCGGTTACTTCTTGCAACAAGCTGGATGAGATTATATAATCTACGATAAGGCCGATCGACCCGGTAAGACATGCAACCACGGGCAAACGCCATCACACGAAAGACACATGCAGTCGAGAAACGTGTAAAGCAATCAATTGTACCCTCCATTGCGATAATGGCTGTGAGACTGTTGACGCACGAAATTCGCACCGATTTGGCGATGGAATTCTCCCTGATTGAAACAAACTGGAAAGTGGGGCATGGGACAGAATGAAGAATAGAAGTTCCTTTCATTTGCTAGAATGAATCGAGTGAAAGCTTCTGCTCAATGAGCTAAGGGATCGCGTTGTTTTCCAAAGGAGAAAAATCAATTCATGAGTCTATAAATAGTCCGGCTGAGGATTACTAGAAAATAAAAAGGTTCTCACGAATTCGATAGGATTTTTTCGACTCCTCCCCTGCAGGTAGTTTTTATCAGCGATATCCTCGGCATCGGGTGATGATCAGCATCAACAAGAGGTTCACGGGGAGAAAGAATCGACTCTTCAAAGAGAGACACGACTGGAATTCCTTGTTGAGCCACGACGATTCTCTCAGATTCCCGCTCTACTCCAAAGAGTTCTTCCCTCATGTAAGTAAAGGAAAGAGTACTCTTGGTCTTTCGTGAATATATTACCAAAGTGGGTGAGGAGCTGTCTCTCGTCGACCGTGACGAGGTAATAGAGTAATTTTCTCAAAATGAAGAACAATAATTGAAATGGATTGCCTGTACTTGCGGCGAGAGGTAAGAGAACAGGACTTGACTCTTGGCCGCTCATTTTCTCTCTTTGAATCGGTTGGAGAACGCTTACCGTGTCATGCCTAACGAAAGTATCAAGTATTAATAGTAAGCCCAAAGAAACCTCAACAAAAGAAAGAATTGAGAGATCTTGATGAGAAAGGAGCACGAGAATGGAGATCGAGTACCTAATTTCGTCCTTGGATCGATTTTGAACTTCGAAGGCGTTGAATATTAGCAGGAAAAAATATTGCCGTGAACTCCAATTCAACTTGGAAAGAGTCCTGGTTATTGTCAAAAACTATTATCCGGAGGGATTTTATTGCTGGAACATGGAACAATACTCTTCAAGATGTGCAGGAAAATCAAGCAGAGTGTCAAGGTCAATACGATGAGGCAATTTAGAGAAAACCTACCGAACTCCCTAGATATGTGGAAAATAACTATGAAGTCATGTCGATATGGAATATTTGAAGCAAATTTCAAGAAGTTGTTCCAGTGCTTGATAGATACAGGACTCTTGGCCTGCATCAACTTGATGGACGCACAAACTGAAACATGAAGCTGATGCATGGAGCTGATGTATGCATGATTCCATGTCAAGCGGTTCACATGTGATTGCACTAGCGGCTAAGAATTAGCCGGAAAAAATCATGGGTGTTTAGAGTTATGAGAAACTAGGCAATGTTTCGATTGCAATCAGGCAATCTAAATTATTTCATGATTTTTTCTATCGCAATCTGGAGGAAACAAGTTCCAATTATTTTTGCCGAAAATTTTTAACATTTCCGCTCCGAAAGTTCCGGACTAAAAATGTTTGCAGTAAACACTGATTACGGTTTCTGTAATGCAACACGAGACAAATAAAAAATAATCCTTCATACCTCTCTAGCCGCCGGGATCTTGGCCCATTCGACCTTTGATTTATGGAACAGCAGGTTTGAACTCAAGCCGAAAACCAGTTCAACTTTCTTTTAGGGATAATTTTGGAAATTTTTCCTCTTGATTCTGGTTGTCGCGGCCATTACTTGTAGAAAAAGCTATTTTAACCATTCGGCAATGCATCGGGATCGCCACTGATGTGCTCTCATAACTCTTCTTATTTTTATGCTTTCTTAATACAGTAAAATTTGATTTGAGGAATTGGCCTAATTCTATAATCCTTCTTCCTCCCTCTAGATAAACATTTGTTGACCCCCATTGGCCGATGACCTCGTGAGGTCAGATACATAGGGGACTACCACGGAAAACTGGGAATCAGTTCAACACGGAAGCGAAGAACGTCACTCGATTGCCTCCAAACGTGCAGACGGAGAATGGAAGTTCATTCTTCATGCAGGATCAACACGGGAATGGACTCGGGTGCAGGCGAGAGCTCCATTTCGTGTCTCTGGGTTAATTTTCGTTTCGCGTGATGGTGTGGCGAAACTTTTGCTCGTCTTCCTCAACTCCTTTGGGTGAGACGATCACTGCTCGATCCCATTCCAACGTTTTACAGGACTTCTGAAGGCATCACCTTCTATCCTCGTGCTTATCCTGTAACGAGGTCGGATATTTGGAAATCGTGTAAGATGAGCAAGATGCACCTGAGTAGAAAAGGAGGCTATTTGCTTTATGATAACACATAACACCTATGATAACAATTATTATTTATATAATTAAAATAAACTAAGCCTGCCGTCCTCGCTTGAGCTCTCGATCGAGGAGATGCTAATCGAAAAGTCTTGCCAAAAAAAAAAATTAATTTATTCTTTCTTCGTTTTGTGCGCCTGGAACGAAAAGAAGGGACAGGAAGGACCTCATAAAGATTAAGTGGTCACTGATTCATTTCTTCTCGTTCCCTCACTCAGGCCATAATTATGCAAAGGCTGAAAGAGACTATCCTTCAGCCATCCTTGACAGTTTTTTCCTACGAACACCACTTTACAAAAGCCTGTGAACTCAGCTCGGAGAAAAACCCCAGAGAACTGCCTTTAGAGCAATGCAGGAATGCAACTAAAGCAATCTAGTTATGCGTTTCAAGTAATCTAGATGATGAATTTCATGCAATCTGACATGTGAGGAGACTTCAACGCCGGGATGATGGTGAGCTCGATCTTGTGATACGAAAACTGAAATAACTCCTTCAGGGAAAGGACTTTTTCTTGTTGATTGTCGTGCGAGCAATCTCGACTTTATTCTGAGGGATTTTCCAGACTTCAAGGCAGGTGTCACCTTTTCGTGCTGTTTTATTTGTGCTGGGTGTTGATCGTAGCGATGAATCGAAGCCGAATCTCGTGAGTTTCCCAAGTTCCGAATTCATGGAAAATTCCAGCGATTTCGATGTGAATCCCAGGAAATACGAGGGGAAGTCCGTCTTAATCATCGGCAGGAGTAAGAGCGGGGAAAATGGAAAATTTGTAACTGTTTGAAAGGAGCTGGATATTCTCGCTTCCCCACTTTCTCATCGTTCCGCGGGTCCCTAGAAGTTAGCATTTCCTTAAATGGCTAGGAAAGCGGCAACACAGCAAGAGATAGCGATCGTTGACACCAAGGCCTCTAGACGTAACGAACGGCAAGGAACTCCCCCCTATGGAAGTGCGTATGGGCGTGGGCGACCGTTACATATTTAGATCTCTTATGCTGTTGGGCGTTATGCTTCACGCAGAAGAACGGCAAGTGCTGTTAAGAACTCCCTGTGCTCTAGACGTTTTGAAAATTTTCTCATGGTGGAGGTGCCTTTGGTACTTTTCACCCTCATTCAAAGCTGCTCCGCTCTCGTCTGTTTTTTTTTGTCCACCAGTCTCAGTAGACTCGGTCGAATCATAAAAGTGCCAATAGCAGATCTTCCCGTGCGTCTTCTCTTGCCTGGGGAAAGTGACTTCCTTCTCTTGCATCACATGCTGTTCAAATGTAAATGACACGGTACTTAACCATAATTATGTCCATCAGTCTGAATCTCCTATTTCTATGAGATTCTCATTCGGAGAGCTACGTGATGCGAGAATGAAATTTCAGAATACTGATAGTGCAGCCCGTGCAATAGATTGGACTGCATGCTTTCATAACTCGAATCGCTGAGCCACGTGTTCGGATGGCGGTACCGCAAATTTACCAACTTTTATTTCATATTTTAATTGCATGACCGTCGAGGACAAGAAACGCTGCTGGAGTATGGCATTATAAAGGCGGCTGAGTGGCGCACGGCGTGCAGTCGAAAAAGAGCAGAAGTAAAACGAGGAGCAAAGCAGAAGTTGAGCAATGCTTTAATTGCTTCCTCTCTCGAACAAAAATGGCACCAAATATAGAACAAGGAAAGTTTTGCTCCAAAAATGTTATCTCGAAATGGGGTCCGTCATATCGTAAGCGTAGAATGAAACGTCAAAAACGTTGCAATTTTTGTAGACGAGGTGAGAGACTGCTGTTGAAAGGCAGAGACGCTTGGCATGTTATTTTTAATTTTTTTTACTTCACCAGGGAATTCCGCGTTCGAAACGGCGGACGCCATCTATAAGTACACGAACTTGGTGCACATGTTTGGCCGGACCCAGGTTCGTCTTTCCTGGAACACTCATTACGTCGGAGACGCCAGGTCTGTTGTCTTCCTTAAAAGAAACAACTTCTTAGAAAAATCGCAGACTCACTCGAGACGTGGTTACTCCAAAGAGGTGAACAACTCGATCGTGGACACGTACCAGCTCAAGTCCCTCGACGGTCTCCTGGAAGACATCAACCGATTCAAGTTGATTCGGGGGAACGAGAGACTCTTTACGTATCTCCGAATTTGGACGATGAGATCGCGAACCTTCCTAGGGTGAAGCTGGACGACGAGAACTTCATCCACAACTTCGCTTTGCGGCAACCACTACGATCACGTGATCGCCTGCTTGGGATTCGTCTTCGATAATTCTCCTTTCCACGAGTGAGTTTTTTATATCTTAATCGATAATCTCCGTTTCCCCCGCCTTGCTCCATGTCCTTTTCCTTGCAGACTCTTCTAAATACCGACGCCATCCGGAATTCAGGAGTTTTAGAATGGGGTCAAGCTTTTTCTGCGAACAAAAAACTGCTTTCTTGACCTAAAAGGGACTAGTCCGAAAAATACTGCAGATACTCTTTGGACAGTCTGTACTTATTAAGGAGCTAGCTAATTACTGATCCTCATAAGCCCACATAAATATGTTATTATTTGCTAATACGAAGAGAAGAGAAAAATAGGTTTCATAAAGACGCTGTCATTCCTCGTACTCGTAGATTTTTCTCTCCAATTGATTGCCGCGTTATATTGGTGTTGCGCTGCGGATCGACGAACCAGAAAACGGCGGCGAATGCGCCGAAATTTCCGGCCAATAGGAACGATTTCCAGTCTTGGAACATGGAAGACCTCTACTTTGCAGGTGCATTGGCCCATTCACTGGATTATCGCAAATCCGCTGGGGGTTTCATTCACGGATTCCGGCATGCAGGTGAGAAAAAAACCGTCGGAAGTGTGCGGAGCACCGTTCGGTAATCCGTTACATCAGTAGGCTTCTCCTGCCATTTCAATGAGTCTATTGAATCGATTAACGCTTTCACACGGTCGGATGAGCGAGAAAAAAGAGATACGTGGCGTGACTTTTCACTTTCGACTCGGTGAAACTGCAGATTCGAGCGGAATGGAAGCAGAGAGCGAGAAAGGAGGTTCTATCGTTCTCGCCTGAAACTTGGCGCCTCGCAAAAGATAACCATTATGAATAGATGTTCGCCAGAGCGCTTAATTTTTATCTGATCGGATCTCATTGGTGTGCCTGGATGGGATACATTAACCTGGTTCAGCGGAATCCGGCGTATCCGGCGTACTCGTGACCTGCAATCCTGGGATGGGACAAACCCTTGCATTCTCCGACTCTCATTAGTAAAAAAAAAATCTCAATTCGAAATGTGCCTCGACTTGGCATATATCTAATAAAAATGCATCTTTTTTGTCTGTTTTTCATGAAATTGTAAGAAATCCGTAATTTTTCCAGAGGAGCAAATACTCATCCGCTCTTCCTTCACTCCGGATGCCTGACGTTAAATCCCCAGGGAATGAGGATAATGAGGTCTCTTGAGACAGTGAGGAGCCTACATAGGATCATGGAGTACCGGTACCACGGACGCCCCTGGCCATCCACCCGGTATCCAATGTCCGAACTGTTGAATGTGCTCGTGAAGAGGATGAATGAAGCTGCTGGTCCATCTACATAGGATCATGGAGTACCGGTACCACGGACGCCCCTGGCCATCCACCCGGTATCCAATGTCCGAACTGTTGAATGTGCTCGTGAAGAGGATGAATGAAGCTGCTGGTCCGTATCAGATGTTCTCTTTCCTCGGTGATGTCGTCATCATCCTTATCATCATCTCTTAAACTCCTTCCGAGTTTTCGAGTACGTCCTGCTCGACGGGGCACGATCTGCATCTAATTGCGATATTTCCTCGCAGTACATTTTTGTACCTGGAGGAATTTCCAGTGAAGCTGCTGCCGCACTTCACAGAAGCGACAGGTCACAAGGGATCCAACTTCCTCTTCATGATCAATGAATACGGTCCGGAGTTCTCTGGTCCGGACGTGGACACGTTTAGTCTCGGCAGGACGGCTGACTTAAGAGCCACGGATGCTCATGAATCCAACTTCTTGCATCCTGTCTTCTATTTCTACGACGGATACCTTCCCTGCGGTAAAACATGCGACAAACTCAAAACGCTCGCATCTTCGCGAATGTGGTGATGTCGGGTTCAATAAATCTGTAAGGGATAATTTTAAAAAGCCACGTAGGCTTCACAAATGCTCAAAAACTCAGTAATGTCAGGTAAAAATTATTTCATTGAATTGAAGACCTATGCGGAAGACTGGTGAAGTCACTGCGAAAGAGCTATGTGAACATGCGGCTCAAGTCTCTCTTTTGCTTTTTTCGAGTTTCCATCAGGAAAGAAAAAGAAAAGAATTTTTTTTTTTACTGGGTATAGATGAAGAAACAAAGAATTTGGGCCAGAGAAATTGACCGTAAGGCCTGCCTAGACCAAACAAACGCCACAACGTTGCCGAGTATTTCCTCACTGACTGGTTGGGATCCAAGACACACATCCTCCCCTCTGAGGAGGTTCCTCGAGGTCATCACTGGACGGGATCTCCAGTGTCACTTCAACGTTCGATGCTTCGAAGTCGCCCTCAATTTCTCCAATGTTCCTCAGAGCTGTCGTGACTATCTCGACGGTCGGGGACTGCAGATCTCCGTGCGAGAGGGAACTGATATCGCGAACTTCCTCGTCAGACCTCATTTTGAAATGCTTGCGATGCGGCGAAAAATGAAGAATAGCTTATCACGTAGGCTACTTTTCAGTTGGGAGAAACTCCAGCAGAGAAGAGGAAAGCGGAATGGACGGAGGAAGACCTCGACTGGGTTCTTAGTCAGGTGAACAGGACGAAAATACTCGAAAGTCGACTGAGGAAGTACTATGGAAACGGGGATGGCGACATCTTCGCCCGTCATCACAAAAACGACACTGAAGAAATGCAAGTACGAATCTGCTATTAATGTAAAAAAAAAGGTTCTAAATGTGTCACGAAGATTTACTAGGAGACACCATACCTTAAATAACCCCGGATCGAAGAGAACCTTTACACCGCATGGAATAGGTTTCTAAGTAAGGCAAGGGTATTGCAGGAAGACAGGCAAACTTTTGACTCGTCTAGCCATACAGTTCGTCTTCGCGGAATATCAACCCGAAATACTCCTCGAGGACGACGACGTGCAAATGATTTGACATTGGTCCCGATCCGCCATCTTTTCTCGATTATATCAATACAATCCTCCTTTGGACATCCTGACCGATCAGGACTATCGAGCAAGGATCGGTCGCGTTCAACATGGCCTCATTTCGTTCCTCGACATTTACTTCCTCGATGTCCATCTTCCTTTCCAGGAAGCAACCCTGGGCAATAGTTGCTCGAGGATCTGATGGTTACATTTCCCATCACGTCCGATCTGTTCTCATCCCCCTGGATAATGGAACCATCTAGAGCTTTTTTGCGGACATCGCAATCCCCATTTTTATGAGGATATTATCCCTTGGGAAATTCTTTGAACGCAAATTACAAAAAAATCACTGCGTTCGTATATAAAGATGCATTTGTTCGTTATTGAAAGGATTTTCAGGGTGAGCGGGAATAAGTTGAGTTGATTTTCTCCCCTCTTTCGGATGAGTTGAATGCCGCGACATACCCAATGTATACGAGGGCAAGGAAGGAAGGAAGGTGATGCTTTCCGGTACGGAATTCCAACGTATCGCTCCAGCCTCTATTCTTTGTCTTGCTGTTTCGAGCGTCTTCCCGCAATTCCATTTTGTCTGGCTCAATAGGTCTGCCTCGTTTTACTGACTTGATTTCTCTTTTTCTGTCCGGAAGGACCTCAAATAGAAGAGAGACATGGACTTCGAGGACGTTCGAAGACGTTCGAGCTTGGATCTCCGACTATCTCGACGGAAATCTATCTCCTCAATTTACGGAAAGGTGAAATTTCGTACTTGTATTCCTTTGCACTCGAGGATTATTTTCCTCGTGACAAAACATTCTACTTGTGACGCAAATTCAAGCCATGATAACTCCTATGAAGGGCCTTCATCTTTTGGGACTGGAATTGGGAGTTCCCATGTAAATTTTTCTTTCACGACTATAGGAAGTAAAGGAAGGTTCTGAAAATTTTGATTTGGATGACACAACTTTCTTCCCGTTTCGTCAAATGTGACCTTCTCCATCATGAAGTAGCCCTAACGATACAGTTCCATGCGTATCGGTGGCTCAGAAGGGTTTTAACAGGGGAGAGGCCGAGTGGGGACTGGGGTCCGATCTGGGATTGCTAAGACTTCCTCGACCTCCTCGAAGCCAAGCGAGGGCCAAGATCCCATTGTGTCCTGCGTGGTCGTCACAGACGGGAGGCGAAGTTAATCCAGGCACAAATACAACGGGATGGCGATCGTGCAGGTGGCAATTCAGATTCGGTCAGTGTGAGTTGAGTCCATCTAGACTGCGATCACATTTTGGACTTCGTTGGTCTTTGTCTTCGCGATCGAGAAGCCGCCTTTAAACGAGGAAAGCAAAACCCAGCGGGGGTCCTACATTTTTCCGACTCGTCAGATAAGTCTGAAGAGCCGGAAGGTCTCATGGATTTCGATGAGTGTCCTTCGCGATTCAGAATGCAACAACAACAAAGTAGAAATCAAAGACAAAAGAAAGACAGCAGAAATCGTCCTCTCCATTTATGAAATAAATTATTCCGTTTTCCTTTCTGGATTGCTTGTGGAAGGATGAAAGGCACTTCAAGCATGGCTCTCATCAAGACTTGAATCAAATGCAAATTAACTCGGTCGATTTTCCCATTAATCTATATTTTATTTATTTTTTATTTAAGTGCTCTTGAGTACTGCCCTGCTACTATCTCCAATGTTTGCTTCGAGGTACATCGAGTACATCGAGGTGATGAACTCGTCTCTTCAAAGAGCATAATTAGCATAGCATTCCCTGAACAAAACGTAACGTTTCGTGGTATTTAAAGTCAAAGAATTAGTTTCACAAGAATGTGATAACAGATTAATGTATCGAGATATTGGCATCTGATATTAAAACGGTTGCAGATTTTGACCATTATGAGAGTAATTTCCCAAAGTAGACGAAAAATTCAGCACGTTGAAGGTAATGAGAAAAAAAGGGATGATCTATATAATAATAACCAACGTCCTCCTGTCCGCCGGAGGCCTGTACGGGTCGACGTTTCCGAAACCGACCCCATCGACCCGATTCGAATCGTGTTCCCGCCCGACAACCCGACCCGAAACCCGATCGATTTGCGGTCGCGCCCGCGGGTCGTGTCGGGCCGATGATCAGGCTTGCCTGCAGCCCGCTTAGGCATCTAAACTTCAAAACTCGGGGTCACTGGGTTCATCTCTTTTCTGAGCGGCTCTTGGCTCTGCTAACGCTTTCAACTTGAAGCCCCATGACGTCGCATGGGTGCTGGCTTGTTCAGTGCTCTCGTTGGGTTAGGGGCCTCGAATGCCTCGAGAATCTCACATTCTCCATCAGGAGTTCCAAATTCGTACGGTGCGGCTCATTTGAATTCTATGGGACAGAACTTCTTGAAAATTAGTACATGGGGGGATTTTTTTTTTTTGGGGGGGGGGGGGGGGGGGTGAATGACCTAAATTTGGCTGTTCAAAAATAGTAATATAATAACACTGCAAAAAAAATTAAAGGATCACTTTTTAAAATTCTTGCATCTTGTTAATGGATGAAACAATTCAATTAAAACTATATTTTGGCACACCGCTATAATGACTACTTAAAATTTATGCAACTGAACCCTTTGTTTACATTACAAATTTCACAAAGGTCGGTGTAACCTTGTTCGTGCCGGGTATTTTTAACAGGTGATCCTTTAATTTTATAGTAGTAGTAGTTTAATTTTTAGAAATAAATTTAGTAAATAAAGATAATTTCACCGCTTAATATTCAGTAGCTGAGTTACCGAACACTATAGAATTAGCTAATTAACTTCCACGTCACGACGTCCTTCTAAAAGAGAAAAAAAATTGGTGGAATGGTCGCTTCGATCAAATACGAAGTTTTGCCAAAAACACGCACTCTGACGTATTTTTAATCTTGTTTTAATCTAGTAGGAAATCTTGTTCGAGTAACTGCCAGATGGCTTACCGTTCGTTTATTTAATTTTGCATCGTTTTTGGTCTATTGATATGGTACCCTAAGTAAGTCGAGCCCAGGGACATTTTTTTTTACCTTAATCTTAGTTTCCATTGAAAAACTGTTCATCGCAAAAATAAGGATAACAGTACGTCTGAGAACGTTTTATTATTATTATTTGTTGAATCCCTGCTTAGGAATACATAAGTAAAATCTCACCGTTCATTATTCACAGACTTGGCTGCCACGACGCTGACAGAGACTGACAGTCACGTGGCTACTTCACGTGGCTATTTCACATGGCTACTTCACGTGGCTACCTCGCTCGTTAAGTTTATTTCATTCCGGTTCGAATACTTAATATATGATACGAGCCCAAAACCATTGATGCCATCCCGACTCGTTTTTCCCGGAAAGCACTCGCAATCACCACAAATTCCTGGAATGTTTCCGTTCCGTCCGATATTTGTCGACGTATTGCGTCGGCAGATAAAACCGTGGATATCTGTAACCGCCGATGCGTCCATCCCCGTGATTCGGGCCCGATGACGAGACGCAATGACTCAACGCCCTGCGAGTCGGGCGCGGTCGAATCGCGACCGGAACTCACGATCGTCGCTGGCTTCTCGGGCGAGAAGCCAGCGACCCTCATTCGGCGCGAGCGCGGTCGCGGGAATGCGAAGGTCGCGGCGTTTCCATGACGACGCCGTCACATGGCTTCGACAGGAAATAAACTCGTAGATAACCTCACGATAGGAGAATCGTGAATATGTACAAAAGTAAATAAATTTGGAGGGGAAACTCGCTCCGGCAGTTGTACCATTTTACCGCAATTTACCACAACCCATCTACCACAACCCGTGGCACCACAACCAAGTCCGCAAACTTTCGAATTCTGCTCATTCGATATTGGATGTTGCGAACTTATTTCATACTCATCCCGGAAAATGCCTTCTAGGGAGTCCGTAAAATCGCTTGAATGATCGACAATCAAACAGATTGCACAAATCTGCGAATGATGCAAATGTCGCTTTTTTTCAACACTATTGCTTCTTTTCATCGCTGAATCCTTTCAACGAAGCAGAATTCCTTCGACACATAATCTCCGAAGTGTAAGTGGCAGCGCTTAAATCTTACTCGCTACTTTGGTTAATACGAGTTTTCCGCAATCTGCTTGATCAGACTGAAGTCGTCTTGGTTCAGGAGAGACAAACTCAATGCGGCTGTCGCAAATTTAATTACCGCCAGTTCTCAGCGTCATTATCTCTTGATTGGGAGGAGTGGAATGTTCCCAGGGCTCATCTCCGGAAAAAACGAGCCGAAATAGCAAAATTCTTGTCTTCGATGAGAAATGCACGACGGCAGTAAATTTATTTTGAAACAAGCAAACATTGCAAAAGCAATCGTCGTGGGGAATGAATGAATTCAAAAGTCGTCGTCGTCCCAGTCGGATTCTCGCTCGGAGTCGCACTCGGAGGGAAGAAACGCGGAGGAGCGACAGCGGAGGACCTGCCGGAGGATGTCTTCTTCCACTTCGTATGCTTTCATCACTCGGATGTCTTTCGCCTGGGGGGGGAAAGAGGCGAGGGTTTCGTTTCTCGGTTGGAGGGTTTAATTATCTGGGGGGTTTGGGGACTCACGCGTCTTAATGTGACTCCTCGACGGATTTCTTCGAAGAGGGACTCTCGGTTTACGAGGGTGATCGTTTCGCATTCTTTTTCCTCGACTTCCTGTGGGACAAAGAAAACTGCTATGATGGAGGTGCACACAATTACTGGCCTTCAGAAACGACATTGATAGCAGAAATGCGTTTCCATGATTTCCCCACGATATGTTAATGATTAAATTGTGTCCAAACGCAGTCATTGTCTTAGTGAAATGCCTTTCACTTTCTCACTTTTCATCGAATTTTTCTTCCTTTTTTCCACTTTTTCAGACAATATCAACGATGAACACTCCAGAAATACTCAAGAACGAGGAAATAATTTCGCTCCCGAAGACTCTGAAGTACCCCAGGAAAGGGGCCGTTTCCTAAGAGGGACTTAGAGGGATTAAGAGGGACTGCTCCGAGCATCGCATCGCGCTTCGGCTTTGCCGGTCTGTAGGGACTTCGCGAAGGCCTGTGCTCAACTCATACATAATGCTTCTTGGAGCGGGAAGGCTAGAAGTTGATTGCTCCACGTTCAAGTACAAGTTGCAACGAGGCTAATCAAAGGGAGGCTGATCAAATCTTTAGATCTGCTTGGGAATTATGGCCATAAATATTCTTTAAAGTCACCTGGAATTGTATGCACAGAATAGAGCTCGCATTTCAAGAACGACTCATGCCTGTCGAGTATCTTCGGATAGAGTAACTCATTCATTGCAGCTTGAAATGTTGAATTCCCCCCAAGAATACACGGAAGTACAAATAAGGACGATTAAAAATATAGCTTACCATGTCCTCTGCAATTGAAGGCCAAGGACTCTGAATGAGACTTGTGTCATTTTCATCCTGAATATAAATGAGAGGAGGTGGTGGAGGTGGAGGTGGAGGTGGAGGTGGAGCTGGAGGTGAAGGTGAAGGTGGTGAAAATATCACAGGTTCTGAGGTAGATGTAACAAGGTCACACGTTTCTTCCTTGTTTTTATGCGACAGGAGATGATTGGCCGAGGAGGTTCTCTTTGGTGGCAAGGGTGGCATGCTTTTTGCTTTTTTCTCGAGGGGATTTCCTTGTTTTTCGGGGGGAAAGTAATCGCTCGATAGTTCTTCGATCGTTGCCTCCGTTCCTTGAGGGGTCTCCAAAAACTTGATCACAAACTTTCTCTTGTGAGGTGAGGACTCCTGCTGCAACGATTAAAAATATAACTCATTGCACTCAAGACTTCCATTCAAAATTCTGCTTTTCTTTTTTTTTTTAGTTTCACAAAGGGCAAACCTGGCCGGGAAGACTGCAGAGGGCTTCAATAGGCACCTGACCGGAGGCCAAAGAAAATTCCCCCGTTTTACGATTGAAACCAAGGTGGCAGACGTGCTGAAAGTTGATCGGACGCCCAATGGCCTGCTTGAGCAGTCTCATCCTCTCCATCTTCATCCTCTCGCTCCGATTCTCCCCCGCGAACGACTGACCGCGAGCGAGCGGCGACGAAGGTCGAGGCGTCGCCGGAGCAGAGGCAGGCAGGACGAGCCGAGCCTTCTCCGAGTGCTTTTCCTCCTCCACGGCGCGGTGCTTCCCCCGAGGCCAGGTTCCGCCGATCGGATGATCCGATGGATGATCCTCCATCTTTCGAATCGCTTCGGTGCGGAAACTCTTCCTTGCTTCGAGTTCTACCGAATAAACACCGTTTTGAGGAACAAAGCAGTTTGCTTTAAATTCGATCGGATGCATCGAATTTCGCTCACCCTGTATCCGAAGGGTCTTCCGCCAGAAGTACCCTTTCATGATGCAGTTTTGGTCGCAACAAAAACTTCAGTTCAACTAAAAACAAAGCAGGGAAAATCTACTTTCAGAAGGGAGGGAAAAAAGTATTTAAAAAAAAACTAGGATCTGAGTTTCTTAAATCGAGTTAAAAGAAACTGTCATCAACAGAACGATTTCAATGAAAATTTAAGGGCAAGTGTGTTCGACATGCTAAGACATATCAGAAAGCTGAGAAATATCTCGCAGAAGAAATGAAGCAATTCGATTGATGTCATTGAATTTGGAAATCGGGAGCAGCTTCAACCATTTCAAAGAGAACCGATCAAGCGATTCCATGTTTATTTCCGTATCGAGGGCATAGTCAGAATAAGAGGTGTAGATCTGAAACGTGACGAATGATATGAACGACGGAGAAACCCACGTCAGCGCAGTTCAATTGATCAATTCCCGTGACGTCACGAATCCTGATATCAAGAAATCCGGACAACACAGTCGAGATGTGACTCCTCAGAGATGGCGGAATTTCGTCCAAATCTTTCTAATGTCGCTGAATGGCAGAAGCGATTACCCGGGGATTAGCTCATTTATATTGCATTGAGCACACCATGGAACTTGCAGGCTTAACTTAACGAACTTTACTTACATCGGCATGAATGGAAAGCAAACGGCATCAATGACGAAGGTCTTTTTCTCGTCTCCCTTTTCACTGTATTTTTTCTGCTAAGTGGATGCAAATATTTTTTTTCGAAGCACCAGGATTTTAGGATCAGGAATGGTATTCGTGCTCCAGATGTCATTTATTCATTATACCAGAGAAAACTTGCTTTTCGTATGATCTGCTCTCAAAATGAATTTATTTTTGCATGCGTAGATGAAAGCTCATTTTGTTATATGCAAAAATAACGTATTCCATTTTCAGCAATGTTTTCTTTAAGGTATTATTATTTGTTCGTATTAACGTTGATCAAAGAAGAAAGATCGAGGGTGGATTTTCGAACAGAGAACTATCCGATAAAGCAGCTTGATTCTAGGGAAAATACATAATATTGCTTGGAAATAAAGCAACATTATCGGATAGTTCTCTGTTCCACCCTAATTCCACCTAATTCTTAGTTCCACCCTAGATAATCCACCTTAATTGTGCTTCCTTTGTCGAAAGATTCTATTCCAATCTCCAAAGATTGGGAATGGATTTTTGGAAAACTGGAGAAAAATAGGACAAATACTGCTTCATTAGCATTTATCTAAGTCCATGAGAAATATTGTCACTTGCATATGCTAAATCACGAGCGATTCATGCTTCTATGGTGTAAGGTCAAAATAAAATCAATACAAAATATATTTACTTAGAGAAAACCGAGGCGACATACGATTCCGGTATGCTCTGACACGAGGGAAAAAAAAAATATATTTCCCATCTATATTGCTTTCCCCTCCATGCAACAGATAAGAAGCAGAGGGGATCCGCTTTTATGAGGATCATGCTGTCAAGTTCTTTCTGTGTTGATATACTGGAAGACCAATTTGCTCAGATCCCCTCTTGTCTTCTCCAACAGGGATGAATCTGCGGATTTATAGTAGTTCTTAGCCCGTCTGGGCTTCGCAATATAAAATGGAAGAATCCATCTTTGTACTTTCCTGAAAATGTTATAAAGTATATGCTGACTCATTTCCATAATTCCATCCACTGGAAGACGGCATTATAAATATGGCAGATTATCAAGTTGTTCATCTTTTTGAATAAGAGAAGGACTTGGAGGTCCATATGAAATGGTTGTATCAATTGATTCGTTGGGGATTTAATTTTTAGATCTATCGCTTCGGTGGAAAGTCCTACCAGAAGATCCAAAAATGAAGGTCTGCGTAGAGCAATGATGCCATGTGTTCTCATTTCGAGGGTGAAAATATATATTGGTCGAACCATTCCGCAAAAAGAAATTGACAGATCAGAACGAACTACCACACCCATGCCATAGCTATCATGCCAATGCCTCACGTTTTCCTCTCCCGAGTCTAGGACTGGTTATAATCTCAACGTGCTAAGAAGAATGACTTAAGGCGACTTTATGAATCAAGTGCGAACTTTTACATCCCCTGCGTCCAATTTTTCAGTCAAAAGCAAGTGAATCGGTCAATGCATCCGTATCACAGAAACTCGAAATGCTGTGAGGGAACATGCCTTTCAAGGAAGTCTGCGATAGCCGGATTGCAAAAGTAAATAGACCTTCGGGCATTGGAGTAACTCACAAAGAAAGATGGGAGTGCCGGGCGAGGAAGCAAAATGCGACTCAGAGGTAAGAACGAAGCATGCTTTCACCTGAAGGATGGCACGGCGACTGTCTTATCTACTGACGCCTGACTTCCGACCACAGTTTCAAGCCCTCGGAAGTCAGATATGACTCAATGCCACAAACTGTGAGACCTTCTTGCGTGAGAGCTCATCTTACCTCGCTACAGGGGATCTACGAAGCAAGACACACCCTAAGATAAGACTTATCCACAGTTTACAACGAAGAGGATGGTTTTGAAAGCTGAGGACTATTTCCGGATTCCATCAGCGATTATGTTGGCGACCTTCAGAGGGACAATGCACTTGATGCTGTGAAGGTTCTCATTGCAGCCTTGAAGCCATCATCGAAAATGTACCATGTCAGTACATCACACATGCAAAGAACTAACAGGGTTCTGATAACTGCATTAGTACTCAAGATAGAAATCCCTTACCCTATGCTAGTCTTGTTTGTATGGTTTATCTGTTGTTCTCTTTTCCTGGAAGAACGCATCCCTTGACTATTTTTTTTCTCCTTCATTCAAAGCTATCAATGAAACACAGAAATCTATAGAAATTCATAATATATTACTTGTGAACTTGGGGAACAAGTGAGTAAATCCAAGGAACAATGATTGAGAGGTTAGAGGCCATGGATTATTAAAGCCCTCTCACCTCGACTAATAAATTGAACATGGGATCCAATCAATGGTAAAAAAATAGATCAATCATCAGCATTGCAACCCTTGGGTTTCAATCTATAACAACTTGAGAAATCACAAGCTTTGATTGGCTCTTCAGTTAATAAAAAAAAGACCATGGGGTCTCCAGGATACAATCAGCATTTGAGGGAACAAGGGTCAAGGATAAGCAACAGGCTTCTAAGTGTGGACAAATACACATTGAACATAAAAGGAGGAAGCAAGCACTACTGTATACTCCCTCATGCTTTGAAGTGATGACAAAAGTCAGTTCCCCTTGCTTCAAAGGCTCAAAACTCCCCTCCCTAGCAGTCAAGTACTGATCTATCATAAGTACAATATGCTGAGCATATCAGTGACAGCACAAATTCATCATTGCGCAAAATAATTCCAAGAAATGATTTCACACTTTCTGAATGTGAATGCAAGGAATCTCTTCCAGTTTAATATGTTGAGCTTGTCTTCAGAATGGAACTATGGATATCTCACAACATAGAAGAATGGATGCCAGGATCCTCAAAATATCAGGTAAGTGCAAATATTTGGGAATGTCAAAAGACATCCTTGGATGGAAAACATTTATCACATGCAAAAGCAATCGTGCCAGACTGAATTCTTCAGTTGGAAGAGCACGTTTTTGGCATGCATCACTGTTGAAAATAATACAGTATTAGCAGTAACAATATTTTAGTCATTTTTCTCTTGAAGAGAGGCAGTTTTTCAAAACAAGATAATGTAATGCTCTTCACTTTGAGGGCACGATCAGAGCTGACCTTGTCATGTCAATTAGACTAGAAAGCATGCAAGAAACTGTCCTCTCACTTCAATGATTCTCAAAAAGGAGGTGCACATTATTTTACACAGAATTATGCACATTAGAATCCAGAGAGACTAGTGAAGGAGGCTGGTGATCATGGTGTTAGCACAGAAGAAGAGACAGTTGACCCAGCTCAGTGATCTCTCCATGACCAAGGAGGATTCATTCTTTTCCTTGCAGTCTTGAAATCAAGCCAGACAAAATGCTGCTAGTCACTGCAGTGTGGACTAGATTTGCAAACCCCATCAAAAACTCAACACACAGGGAGCACATATCCCTGGGATGTCTAATTACAGAAAGACGCAGTTTATCAGTTAGTCCTCCCATTCATCCTCCTCTGACTCTGAGGAGTCAGATGTGGAGGAATCACTTGAATGGAAGGCATGTGACCGATCCTGCAAGGCCTTCTTCAATGCTCCTGCCAAACCACCTTCTTCACTGCCATTTTCAGATTTCACACGAGGCTCACCCACCTAGAAGATACAGGAAAAAATTCATGACATCAAACACACAAGATGAGTATCTCAATTGGAACTTAGGGCATGCAAGGTACTATTGCTCCTTAAGGTCAACAAACATATATAAATTCCAGACATTCCTTAACTAACCTTTATCTTTTCTCAATGTCAATGACAACTACAGTATAAGATGCCATGATTTTAAAAAATATCAGCTTGGCCTTCCAAGGTTCATAAGGTCACCAAGTTGAGAATACAATGTATATCTATAAAATGACAAGTCTACAAATAGAGTGCTATCTAGCTTTGCAGTCCAGGTGTACAAGAGAGTATTGTGATATAGTGAAAGGCCAAGAAAAATATAGCCATTTAAAAAAGAATAGGAAAATCCACTTACAGATTTCAGCTCTACACCTTGACGAATCTGCTGTAGGAGGGCTCCTCTACTATTTGAGTCTGATGATCGTTTCTCTCGCTCTTCATTAACATCCACACGCTATTAAAACAAAACATAAAAATGAGAGAAATGCAGTGAGATGATTCCTCCAAGATTGAAGCTCACCTTTAGTGTAGCTCCACTCCGAATAGCCTCCATGAGAGCACCATGATTATCTGATTTTGCAGGTAATGAGGGTGAAGGGTCATTGGAGGATGGACTTGGAGGGAGAGGCATGCGAGGTGGAGGCGGTACACCACTTGGCATTGGAGGTGGTGGAGGAGGTGCTGCACCTTTATTCCCTCCTGCTGATGCAGGAGGAGGCATAGGGGGTGGGGTTGGAGCACTAACTGCTGATGGAGAAGGTGTTGGCACGTGCGGGCTGGTACCTGGTTCAGAAAAAGCAATAACAGTCTATGAATATTTTCCAACAAAAATTCTTCAAAGCAGGCACAAGTCTACTTGATCAAGCAAACTAAGAACATGCCAACAGTTATCTATTACTAGCTAATCCTTCTATAACTTTAACATGTATCTTTCTACCTCCTAAAAATCTCCAAAAGCTGCCTAAGGTCTGATGCTCAATATACATGCACACATAATTGGATCTATTTTCTGTCACTGATTAACAGTTAATGCAGAAGTGGAAACCCAAAAGTCCCAGGAAACAAAACAAATATTTCCTATTTCAGTATGAATTAAGCAACCAGTAAAGTCCAAAGATAATTTAAAGCAAAATATTTTAATAAAGGTGGGAAGAAAGCCATGAAGTTTTTAGGTTATTTAGAGCAAAACATACTATTACCACAAATAATACCTGAATTCTTATTGTGTAGGTGCCTACAGCTTTAAGGGTTTCAGAAATGCTCTTATTGTCTTCCAATATCTACATAGTAATATGGTCTGAATGAGTGATCCAATATTATGCATGGTTGCATGGTAGTCAATCAATAACTCAGATGAGTGGGGTCATGAACCCCTTCACTGGCAGGGTTTTTTCATACACCCTTAATTTGAGGGTTGATATCATAAGTTAACTACTGATATCCATACAATAAAATCTGCACTGAAAAACAGGGAATCACCACTCCTGGAACGAGACAACCATTGGCAAGAGTTGAACCGAATTCCCACACAGCTACACCAACCTGAGCAATTCTCAGGCTTGCTGGTTAAGGGGTTATTGAGCAGCACTTGCCATGATTTGACAGTGGCTAGGCCTTTAATCAGTCCCTATGACCTTTTCCTCCAAAAATATCCTAGAGGTCTATGTGTTATACTCAACAGAAAATCAGCTGATAAAACTTTTTCCACATTAGGTTTATCTATTTTTAAATAAGACATTTAACTTTATGCTGTATAAGCATGAATAAAAAGATTAAGACACTAGTACTTTACTCGAGTCCATTTTCCTGATGGTCCGAACGAAAAACTTCCCCTTCCTCCATGTTTCACTGTAGGCCACTATGCCTTTCAAGAAATAAATACAGAAGCTTACCAGTTGTGAAATTATACAGAAATCTATCAAGTTCCATTATGAAGGGCTACTTTCAAAAGAATATTTTATTGCATGCAGGGAAACAGAAAATTAGGACGAAGCAGAAAAGTTGACAGTGAGCAAATTCAAGGGAATGAAGTAATGTTAACACTTTCACTGCCAGGGGTTTTGTCCCTGCACTGGCATCTGGTTTCAAAGAAATTCAGGAAATATGTTTTATATTGAGGCAAGCAAAGCAGGATTCCATTCACAGCAACCTGTGTACTTGAAAAAATGTCTAGCGCATCAACTGTTGGTGAATTAAATGCCCTTAAATGGTAATGCCAAGCACTGCATGCTGGTGGAGCCTTGCCATGTCAAACATACCATGTGGTATAAATGGCAGTCAATCTGTTAAGAACCCTGATCTGGTGGAAGCAGATGCATTGTTACATTGGGAAAATAATTGTAACCAGGCTTCTACAAGGAATCCTACAATGAGACTGAACATACTCATTTACCCATTAATTACATTTATTACTCATAAGAGAAAAGAAACTCTCCTTTGACACAACTGACTTTCCAGGTAGAGATTTCTCGGGGTAGATGCCCTTATAGGTATGGATGAACTCAAGGCATGACTTTGACTCTGACCCCAGAGTCTTGCATGTGAACAGAAAGTTCAGATTATTATAACAGGAAGCCCTATTCCCAAACCTGAACAAAGGATAAAGCACTCATACTTCTCATTCTGGGTTTTTGTAATTTTCAGAGTGCACTCTTGTCTGAACTCATGCATCCAGTGATGAACAAACACCTCAGCTAGTTACTGAACAAAGAGCATGCTGACCCCAAGCCTCATGCAGATGAACAAGTGAGGGATAACTGGTACAGGACAGGTATAGAGATTGTGACATGCCTTCCTTGAGTGTGGGCTCTTGTACAGGAGGAAGAGGAGGAAGAGGAGGAGGAGGGGGGGGAGGGACAGAGGGGTGTCGGATAGAATGAGGTAGTGGTGGTGGGGGTGCAGTTCTCCTAGGGGGAGGAACAGGTGGGATTCGAGCATGCTCCTCTGTTGGAGAAGCCCGCCACTCAGGGGTCCCATACTCTGAGGGGGGACTTTCAGGTTCAAGGGAGGTAGGAGCAGGAATGGAGCCCGTGGAACAAAGCTGAGAGAGTGCCGAGCTGAGTCGAAGCAGAGTGGCATCCACAGGTGGAGAGATGGAAGGCCTATCACATGGATTGTTAGAAAGTGGCTCCTTGAGAGCGTGAGGAGGGACAGGAGGAGGAGAAGCTGCAGCAGCACAAGAAGCCATAATCACAGGATCCTTCCCACTTTTGGTGCTAGTTTCAGCTGAAGGAGAGGGATTCATGAAAACCTTAATCCCTTAACATGATGGCAGCAACTTAACTACTTGTTACTTGATGCTTCAAAATGTCAAGTGTGGCTAAAAAGATGTCCTAACAATCTAACAATGTGGCATGTGGATCTGGAAACAAAAACAGCAAATTTCATACCCAAAGTAGTGAAGATTGGGGTAGAAGTCTTTTGAGGAACTCCTCTGGTGGGAGGTGGTGGAGGGGGCTTCTGACGGCTTGGGGGTGTTGGAGGCGGAGCAACAGTTGGCCTCCTGGCAGCAGAATCCATCATTGTTTGGTTGTGACGAGATGGAACAGGAGGAGGGGGTTGTTGCGGGGGTAGGGGTGGTCTGCCAATTCCAACATCTTGGACTTCTTGCATTGCTGCTTCCAACCCACCATGTGTCTCAATGAAGTCATAAATAAACCTTCGTGTTTCTTGATCCTTGAGGTGGGTCTCTGATACTCCAGCCTACAGTATTGTTCACAACATTATTGTTCACTTGTTCAAATTCCTATACAATCAGGGCAGGATGAATATGGAACTCACCTTATAAAAGAATTCTTTGAGCTGGGGGTCCACATTGTCAAGGTCAAAGCCCCGGTTGGGATCCCAACCAACATGAGAGACATGTTGGAAATTGCTTGGCAGCCCAATGTCATCCTTTGTTATGACTCTCTTCCCAGTCTTGGATTTCTTGCGACTCTTCTTGTTTCCTTTATTACCATTGGATGGCATCGATGGTGATGGTCCAGAATTAAGCCCACCATTTTGGGCAACCACAGGTTTAGGAGGGCCCTTGTTCATCATCTGACGTTTTTCTGTCAGGAGACCATAGGCTTTTTACCACATCAAAATATCAGATGACCTTTCATAACTTTAGTAAAGAGTTTTGAACAGCCTTACGTTGTTTCCGTTGGCTTCGCTTTTGAACATGTTCCCTGATGCACACTCCAAACTCATATGCTTCTTCTTGATTTGCAAAATTCAAGCCTGCCATACAATCCTATAAAGAAGGTGGCACAGTTCATCCATTTATACACTGAAATGACTAAAAAAAAAAATAGCATAGGCATATTCAACTATATTGCAATCAGAAAAATGAAAAAGAGAGTAAGGTTGCCCTCACATGAGCTTCAAACATGTGAAAATGATTATTCATCATCTTGTAAGAGAACTGTTGGTAGAGCTCTTGCTCCCATGCCATGTTGTAGTTGACAGGATCAAAGAGTCTGAGAAAATAGGCCCGTCTCCCATTATCCTTGACAAATGTGATGATACCACATCGGAACTTATGCCATTGCTTATGATCATCACTCTCCTTGCTGAGGAACAGCTGCACCACTGCTGTGGACAATGTCTGGGGAAACAGAAATTACATTATGACAAAAATAAGTTTATGGGCCCTTTTTCCATCTGCTGTACAACCATAAAAAAATTCACCTTGCACCGATTTCCAATAGCCCGGAATACCTCTGCATTCTCTTCATTGCAAAGCATTCTTGAAGCCTTGTTCTCAACTGGTCGCTGCTTCCTCTGGCCAGAGGCATTGGTTTTCCCATCATGAGAACGATGGGAATTCATCATTAACCTAATGGTAATGGTACCAACAAGCCTCCCCTAATTGGCCTTGCTTAGAGTTAGAGTAAAGCTTTTAAAAGCAACCTAATTCTATTTTTGAGCCTCAGCAGACTCATGTACCTTCTGGAAAATGGATAAATCTGCATCAAACTAAACTTAGACATGCACTTAAAACTATGAAGTTGAACGTTGGGCCAAAGCCTGCAGTGATTGACAAATGAAATTGCCAAATTACATTTTTATCACTTTTACCATGTACTTCATATGCTAAATGTCAACTATTGTGGAAGATATACCCTCACCTCCTTGCATACACCATATAAACAGCATTACCACGAGGATAAAGGAAGTCAAATTCGTTTGCAAATTATTGCACGAGGTCATATGCACCGTTTCCAGATTGAATTCCTACTCCCCTATAGGAAGCTTCCATCGATTGCAGATAGCGACACCTAACACGAGTGGTTACTTCTATTACCTGATGAAGCGGAACTTCTGGAAATTTGTGGGGGTTTTTTTCATTATCCATAATAGAGTGGTGGTACGAACTCAATCCAGAAACAGATAATATCTCGTCTTAACTGAAGCCGAGGCCCAGTCTAGCCTTAGAGCAGGTCTAGGCGTGCTATATTAACGTAGCTTTACTGACTAGGGGATTCTGATCTACCCGGTGGAAACCTGCTCACGGAATAAATACCTAACTCGCTAGAGAAGTCCAATAAGTCGAGAGTGGGTCACGGGTACGTGAAACGGTCACAGGTGGAGATATCACGATGAGACGCCATGTTAATGATGACGTCAGTTCCACAGTCAATCCCTCGCCTCTGTCGTCTGCTACTGCCTCCTGCATGTGCTCCTGCAGGAAAGGAAAATTCCGAGAAGGAGAATCTCTCGGAATTTACATTGTCTTACATGTCACGGTCTCCATGAATGAGATGCTATCTTCGTTTCATGAAATGTACCGCATAGAAAATTGGGAATGTTACTTTAAAAAGCTCCTCTTGCGATGTCAATATCAGCAGAAGATGAAAAAAGCACAAGTTCATCGGAAAATGTAAGTGAGGCGGCACAAACGTCATCAATGACTCCACAACTCGACCGAAAAGTAGAGAAGTATAAAGCACTAGTAAACAGGAGTAAACTCAAACCGAAAGCACTGGAAGCAGCTGAGATGAAGGGAATACACTAACAATTGCAGTCATTTTCTGATTAAGAGGCTGTGAGTAATTTTTTTTCAAACGAGGCTTCTGTTCTACCTTCCCTAAGCCGCCAATTTCCGATTGCTAACAGTGAATTGGATCTGAATAAGGTCATGTTTCCTATGTAATTTGTATCGGCGATTTATACTGTCTAAGTAAATTTACGAAAGTCGTATTGAACACGTTCCAGTTTTCTTTGAGAGAGATTTAACGTTTCTGAGTTTCTGTCAGCTTTACTATTGTGACCCTTGTGACCGGAAGCAAGCCATCATTTTCAAACGTGGATCTGCAGTTCATCTAATTAAAATTTCCAGCGATGTCTTGCATCTGTGGTCGTAAAATAGCTATTTCTTTTTAATCATTGAGGGACAGTCGGTAGCCGCCATCACCTCTCTGAAACGCGGACATTTGTCTACAAAATCCAGCATGGAATTTATGAATTCACCCGCGGAAGAAGCGCTGTCCTTGACGTCCTTGGGGAATCTGCAGAGCGGGGGGTTCCCCGTCAATGGAGTCCTTGACGCCCTTGGAGATCCGCTGGTTCCCCGTCGTCAGCCCCCCCAACACCCCCATCGCGACGCCGAATTCCCCCATATATCACTCGAGAGGGCAGCAGACGTCACCCACGAATGCCATTCCAGGAACTATTCACCGCCTCCCCAGTCGCGAAGGAACCAGCAAGCCGCTCGGAACGGAGCATTCCAAGCCTCCACCCGATTTCTTCGCGGGCGATGGAATCGAGGTGAGTTGCCCTCCGACCGACCGTTATTCGAAAAAATCGGGATCGGCAATGCGCCACGCTCGACCGGAACGAGCTCGAGTGCACTCGAGGGCGGAATTATCGAATGCACTCGAATGCATTCGAGAACCCCGCCGACACGAACAAGTTTCTCCCCCCAACGTCTCGCAGGCCCACGATGATTCCTTATCGACGTACGTATCGCATCGAGAAACCGTTTTAAGTTGCCTTCGTGTCGCTGCCGGGATAACAACATTTCGGCGAATTCGCTGTACCAGACTTGAGTCCCTGGTATTTGGGACCCTGGGAAATCGATTATGAATGGGGACGATGGGATTGAATCACCCTGGATGAATTACCCTGTGATGCAAAGAAATGTACCCGGTGTTGCAGTTGCCCTTCTTGCAACGAAGTGGGGTCTCTTCTTTTCACACTCCCAAGAACAAGAATCGCATTAAAAAATTCGATCACGCAGTCGGTGTCGAATACCACGAATTCATTTCTCGATCAGAGTTTTCGTTTTTTCAGTTTTCGATCTGTCAGCATTCGTACATACCTGAACACAAAAAAATGTAAAAATACTGACGAATCTTGCCATGGATTTGCGTAAAGTTGAAAACAATGCACCAAAGACGTCAGTCTATCACACGACGAAGCCATGTGTTTTTAATTTCCTTGTCACTAGGAGTGTATGGCACCTAGCGACCGCATGGTTGCTAGGTACAAGGACTGTTGCACATCTGCTACGAAACCGATTCACCTCAAGAGCTCGCTACCTACGCATTCTAAATTAAAAAAATATTTTGGAGCGCAGCATATCTGCTACGTCATGCATTAAAGGGTCACATTTTTTGGCGTGCGATGCATGTCAGGAAAACCGAAATGTCACTCCCCACTAATTAACTCAGGCTGGAGAGCGGCCAACTGATCAACTCAGGCCGGGGAGCGGCTCCTCACGTCGAGCTGGTGAACGTCCTCGAATCGTCCCGGCTCGGACTTCGAAGTGAAATATGTAAATTGCTGAGATTGTGTGAGATTGCGATCGTTCCCGATCGTTCACTCGAATTGTTGACACTCTCACGGTCGAGCATTTTACGCTGTTTTATCCTTAAATTGATGGTCGAGCATTTTCCTGTAAAATGACGGAACGTAAATTTTTAAAGTAATAATAAAGTTGACGATTTTTTTAAACGATATTTCTGTTATATCTTAACAATATTTTATCTAAAAGTTCAGAAAATCTTATCAATGAATTATGCAATAGGAATGTGTATTTTAAAAATTACATGTTAATGTTTAAAAATGATGTCGCCGGCGACCGTGAAAGTGCTAAAATATCCTGATTTATCCGGCCGCCTGTCTGACACGGACGTCGGGAAAGGATTGCCAGACCCACCGTTACGGCCACTTTTTAATCCGGCCGGAACAAAAGAAGGGAACCCTGGAGAATATCGGGTCATTTCCTTCTTACATTTTCGTGCCTTGCATTCGGGATTCCGATTTTTTTTTTTTTCCTTATTTGCAGGAATCGACGGACAGGGTCGCAACTCTGCGATCGGAACGATGAGATGAACGGTGATCGGAGCGTTCACCTGCCGCTTTCGACCTATACCCATTTTTGGAAAAAATAAATCCACTCCTCGTAACGGGCACCTGTCCGGTCCGGCCGGACTCGGCAGTCTGCCTCGGCTTTTCCACGCATTTTCCTCGCAAACAGAGCACCGGTCGGAAACGGAATCCCCTTCGTCTTCGCCGAATTTTCTCGGATTTCGCGCGATCCGTTCCGCGTCCTCTTCGGTCTCGACGCGGAAACGACCGACGTCCCTCTCGCGTCCGCATCTGCTTCACTCCCACTCGTTTCGCTCAAAAGTTCAAAAGCCGCTTTACCTCAAGGCCAAAAATCCATATGAGGGAGGACGGAGAGAAATGGAGGTGTGCGTCGCTCCGCGTCCCCTCCCAACTGGGGTTCATTCCTCCGTGTTGCTGTTTCCCCCCCCCCCCTCCTCCCCCTCTTTCCCCCTCTTTCCCCCCAGCCGTTTCCTCCTACGCTACTTCCACTAATCAGTCCCGAATTTTTCACAGACGGTGGCTTACTTCATTCGGTGTTGTCACTCTCCCGTGGAGTGGCAGCCTCACGGCACCCAACACGCTTTCACTGCCGAGAACTGAGTCAATTTATTTACAACAAAGCTTGTTGTCAGCATGAAAGACATCGGAAACGAAGGGAACCGGGATGTTGCTCTACGTTGCTGCGTTTTTCGCCGCGGCCGACGTTGTATTTTCGCGTCACAGTCAAAAGAAAGGGGAAAATCAGGAGGGACACTGTGAATTCCCGATTCCTTCAGAAAGTGTGACTCAGCCCACGATGGATTCGGGAACTAGAAGCCTCATCTAAATTTCACGCTTTTTTTTTTAACCCCTTGCCTGTTATGGACGGAAAAGCTCCGCCAGCGACAGTCGCCCGCTGTGCGTTTTTGACGAGACGGTTCTGACTGCGTCGGCCGCCCGCTGCGTTTTCCACCTAACAACTCGGATATCTTTTTGGAAGGTCGAGTGTGTTGTCATGTAGATCCGCCACAACTTACATAACACGACGTGCAGAATGGGTAAACTCAGCTTTTTTTGTTCGACTGCGCAGAGGTTGAAGGATGGGCGAGGCAGAGCCGATCCGTCCCCATCGGGACCTGGAGTCTTCTTTGCGAATGGGCGAACAATGTCCCAAGAATGAGGAGGAGGTCGAGGATGGGACGAGGTCGAGGATGGGACGAGGTCGAGGATGGGACGAGGTCGAGGATGGGACGAGGTCGAGGATGGGAGAAGGTGGAGGATGGGAGGAGGTCGAGGCGAGGATGGGAGAAAGTCGAGGATGGGAGGAGGTCGAGGCGAGGACGGATTCCGGCAGGGAATGATTCGCTGTGCCGTTTAGGGCGTTTACGCCGACGTTTCTTGTCTCGCCTGGGTAATTGCGATGAGAATGGGGGCAGAAGGAACTAAATCTTACCTACGGGAAAGCTCAAGATGCGATCGAAACTGGAAAAGGGAGGAACTCCGGGACACACGAAGGTCGTAAGACCCAATTAAAAGATCTTATATGTCTTCACGTCTTCATGTCACGCATCGAGTCGATGACGTTAACAAATTGTACGAACGAATGAAAAGCGATCGAATCGGACCGTTCCCCTCGACGATCGCGAAGTCGGAAATTCGGCGACCATCTCGCGAAGGCTCACCTCTGGTTCCACGTCGATCGAGTCTACTCCAGCGCCTCGACGGGCGAAGAGACGCACTATCGATGGCCGAAACCTCTCGGATTCCTGTCACGCG